AAATAAGCATTGCCACTCCTGCTTTCTTCTGATGTCCATTAGCATGGTAAATTCTTTTCCACCCCCTCACTTTAAATCTGGAAGTGTCTTCGGGTTTAAGATGAGTTTCTTATAGGCAACATATAGATGGGTTTTGTTTTTTTATCCATTCTGATACCCTGTGTCTTTTGATTGGGGCATTTAGCCCATTAACATTCAGGGTAACTATTGAGAGATATGAATTTAGTGCCATTGTATTGCCTGTAAGGTGACTGTTACTGTATATTGTCTCTGTTTCTTTCCAATCTACTACTTTTAGGGTCTCTCTTTGCTTAGAGGACCCCTTTCAATATTTCCTGTAGAGCTGGTTTGGTATTTGCAAATTCTTACAGTTTTTGTTTGTCTTGGAAGCTTTTAATCTTTCCTTCTATTTTCAATGATAGCCTAGCTGGATATAGTATTCTTGGCTGCATGTTTTTCTCGTTTAGTACTCTGAATATATCATGCCAGCTCTTTCTGGCCTGCCAGGTCTCTGTGGATAAGTCTGCTGCCAATCTAATATTTTTACCATTGTACGTTACAGACTTCTTTTCCTGGGCTGCTTTTAGGATCTTCTCTTTGTCAGTAAGACTTGTAAATTTTACTATTAGGTGATGGGGTGTGGACCTATTCTTATTGATTTTGGGGGGGGGTTCTCTGAACCTCCTGGATTTTGATGCTTGTTCCCTTTGCCATATTGGGGGAATTCTCTCCAATAATTCTCTCCAATATACCTTCTGTCCCCTCTCTGTTTCCTCTTCTTCTGGAATTCCAATTATTCTAATGTTGTTTCGTCTTATGGTGTCACTTATCTCTCGAATTCTCCCCTCGTGGTCCAGTAGCTGTTTGTCCCTCTTTTGCTCAGCTTCTTTATTCTCTGTCATTTGGTCTTCTATATCGCAAATTCTTTCTTCTGCCTCATTTATCCTAGCAGTGAGAGCCTCCATTTTTTATTGCACCTCATTAATAGCTTTTTTGATTTCAACTTGGTTAGATTTTAGTTCTTTTATTTCTCCAGAAAGGGCTTTTATATCTCCCGAGAGGGTTTCTCTAATATCTTCCATGCCTTTTTCGAGCCCGGCTAGAACCTTGAGAATCGTCATTCTGAACTCTAGATCTGACATATTACCAATGTCTTTAATGATTAGGTCCCTAGCCTTTGGTACTGCCTCTTGTTCTTTTTTTGGTGGTGAATTTTTCCGCCTTGTCATTTTGTCCAGATAAGAGTATATGAAGGAGCAATTAAAATACTAAAAGGGTGGCAACAACCCCAGGAAAATATGCTTTAGCCAAATCAGAAGAGATCCCAAATTGTGAGTGGGGAGAAAGGGGATAAAAAGAGGTTCAGAAAGAAAAAAAAAAAAGAAGAAGAAAGAAAAAAAAAGAAACAATTAAAAAAAGAAAACCAATAAAGAAAAAATATAAAAAGGAAAAAAATATATATATATATTAGATAAACTAGTTAAAATACGTTAAAAAAGAAAAGGGTAAAAGTTAAAAAAATTTAGCAGAAGAAGAAAAAAAAAATTGAAAAAGAAAAAAAAAATTAAATTAACTGCAAGGCTAAAGAATCATGGGGAGAAAGCCATGAGCTCCGTGCTTTGCTTTCTCCTCCTTTGGAATTCTGCTGCTCTCCTTGGTATTGAAACTGCACTCCTTGGTAGGTGAACTTGGTCCTGGCTGGGTTTCTTGTTGCTCTTCTGGGGGAGGGGCCTGTTGTAGTGATTCTCAAGTGTCTTTGCCCCAGCGGAGTTGTACCGCCCTTACCCGGGGCGGTCTGAGTAATCCGCTCGGGTTCGCTTTTGGGAGCTTTTGTTCCCTGAGCGCTTTCCGTAGAGTTCCGGAGGGCGGGAATGAAGACGGTGGCCTCCCGGTGTCCGGCCCGGAGGAGCCGAGAGCCCGGGACCCCACTCCTCAGTGCGCCCTCAGAGAACAGCACCCAATGACTCCCGTCACCCTGCCTGTGGCCGTGCTCGGAGCTGACCGAGCCTGTGACCGGTTCAAGGTAACCCCGAGCTGAGAGCTCACTCCTCAGCTCTGTCTCTGTAGCCGGCTTCCCCGTTCTACTACCTGTAAGCTCTGCGACCCTCAGACACCCCCGATCCTTCTGTGACCCCGCGTGGGCTTCACCCCGGTTAAGCCTCTGGAGCATGTCCCTCAGCGGAACAGACTTTTAAAAGTCCCGATTTTGTGCTCCGTTGCTCCGCCGCTTGCTGGGAGCCGGCCCCTCCCCGCGCGGTCTATCTTCCCGTCGCTTTGGATTCACTTCTCCGCCAGTCCTACCTTTCAGAAAGTGGTTGATTTTCTGTTTCTAGAGTTGCTGTTCTTCTTCTCTTCGATCTCCCGTTGGATTTGTAGGTGTTTGCAGTCTTTAGATAAGCTATCTAGCTGATCTCCGCTACCTGAAGTAGTCTCAGCTGCTACTTCTCTGCCATCTTGACTCCTCCCCCACCTGTTTTGCTACTATTTCTTAAAGGCAATGAGTTTTTTTTTTCTACATGTTTTTTTCTTCTCTGCTTCATTACTATTTATTACCTTTTAAACTCTATTCCTTTTCTTCTAGATGCCTTCTAGGATCTCAGATATTTAATTTCTAAGATGACAATCAGCCATTCTATTATCTAATAATGAAAATATTTAAACTACCTTAATGAGTATAAGTTTTATAAAAACTAGAGATCTTTGATACGAAACATTTTCCTTTTCAATGACTTTTAAAACATTCATCTTACTTTTGAGTTCCTGTTCATTCCCAGATTGTCCAGGACCATGTATTCCAACTTTCAAGGAGTGTTTATGGAATCTTTGAATTACTTATAGAGGATTTCATGGAATTACTACCAAAGAGTGTATGGAATCTTTACTTTTTAGGAATTAAAGTTTTCATGTGGTCAAATTCATCACTGGTTTTATAAATGTGCCATAGACATGCAAAGAAATATATATTCTTTCAAGTTTACTTGTATTATTGAATTCCACTGTTCTACTCATTTTTGTATATCTGATCTGTTGAATTCTGTGAGAGAAAATCTGGAAGTCTTATACTGGTATTTTTATCTCAAGTATTACTCACTTTTTATACCTTTGATTTTATATTTTTATTTGATATGATATAGAACAAACACATTTAGTGAAACTCTATTTTCTTTATAATGTCTTTTATCATCAAACTACCATATCTGGTTTCACCCCAACCAGGCCACCTGGAGGCGCCAGTGTACAAGCAGGAGGACCAAGCAGGGGCTACTGCCCTGCAGGAACCTGGGAGGAGGGGGCATCACTGAGGCAGGTCAATGACACGAGGTGGAAGGGCTCTTCTGACTAAGCTGCTGACCTGAGTCCGATGGTGTCTCCCAAGATGACACTCATTTATCTAGACGAGTTGCTGGAAAGATGATTACAGTCTTGCTTTTTAATGTTTCCTTAACTTCTGTTTACCAATAGCCCTTTCCTCTATTTCTTATAAGAAAACAGAAGTCGGGGCACCCGGGAGGTTCAAGCAGTTGGGTATTGGGACTCCTGATTTCAGAGCAGGTTAGGATCTTTGGGTTGTGAGCTTGAGCCCGGGCATCAGGCTCTCTGCTCAGCATGGAGTCGGCTTGGGATGCCCTCTCTCCCTCTCCCTGTGCCCTCCCATGCTCTCGCTCTCTCTTTAAAAAAAGAGAAAAATTCTCTCTCCCTTTCCCTCTGCCCCCACTCACGCTCTTAAAAAAAAAAGGAAAAGAAAAAAGAAAAAAAAAGAAAACAGTCTAATGAACATTAATATCAAAAAGCACAAAAATGGATGGGCGCCTGGGTGGCTCAGTGGGTTAAGCCGCTGCCTTCGGCTCAGGTCATGATCTCAGGGTCCTGGGATCGAGTCCCGCATCGGGCTCTCTGCTCAGCAGGGAGCCTGCTTCCCTCTCTCTCTCTCTCTGCCTGCCTCTCTGTCTACTTGTGATCTCTCTCTGTCAAATAATAAATAAAATTTAAAAAAAAAAAAAAGCACAAAAATGGAAAGCAAAATGACATATAAAACTGCACTACACACATAAGCGAGGATAACTTCAAGAGGAAATTCATATACGGTCATTTAAAAACAAACCAAGGTTGGGAAGCCAGGGTGGCTCAATTAAGTGTCCAACCCTTGATTTAGGCTCAGGTCATGATCTCAGTTTCATGAGCTCAAGCCCTGAATTACGCTCTCTGCTCAGCATGGAATCTGCTTGGGATTCTCTCTCCCCCTCTCACCTGTGCCCCTCCTACACTCTCTCTCTCTTAAAAAAAAAAAACAAAACAAACAAACAAAAAAAACAGAGAGAGATTCTCTCCCTCTGCCACTCCTCCCACACACACGTGCACATTTTCTCTAAATAAATAAAAAATAAAAAACAAGGATCAACCTCTCACTGAATTCAACATCGCTTCTTAGAGTTTACCACTGTCAATTCAACCTCCAGAGGTTCTCACTAGACCACAGCTGTAACATAAAAGAACACCAATCTAGATGGTATATTAGCACTCAGTTACCAAAGAAAATCATAAAAAGAGGAAAAGAACACATAAGAACAAAATATTTAAATAAAAATTCCATCAATCAAAAAGAAAAACACAATATTTAGATTTTAAAAAGTCAAAACAGGAAGGAGTTGCAATGCCATTTCTCAGCTCTCCAAGTGCCCACCAAGGAAACCAGTGCTATGCAGCTCCCCTACATACACATTCTACATGATCATCAGTCATAAATTAGTGAACGAAATAAAATTTTTGGTAAATTACCAAAACACCTACAGCTCCAATCCTTCCCGAAGTGCCTCATGCGCATTTCCTGAACTAAATGCATAAGCTTAGGCTAAAATGGTATTTTAAAGGATTCAATAGGAAGAGTCCTGTCCCTGAAATGCCTATGAACTAATTCAACACGAAACACAAAACTGAGTAAGGACATTCATATGAGATCTGCAAGTAAGGTCTGACAATTGAGAAATAAAAACAAACCTTACCTTTTCCCAGTTGAGAAAGGCTCTCAAACAGTTCCGGACCTCTCCTTTAGCACGTTGCCTGGCAACCAACTGCATCGCCTTATTAATCACCGATTGGGAAATAAATATGTCATGCCACATATTTGCAATGAACAAAGTCAGTTTCTCTGACTCTGGAAAATCTATGAGAAAGAAAACAAAACAAAACAAAAAAACCTTTATGTCTAATCAATTGAATAAATTACAAGCTAAGAACCAATTTCAGTAATTTCACTTATGCCTTGCAGGGTCTCTTACCGCTGAAGGCGGGTGCCCAAGGAGGCCCTGCTTTGTGCAAATGTGCTTCTTTCTCCCCCAACCGTTTCCCTTTGGCAAACCTTAACTAGATTTGAAACATACACAGCACTGTCTTACGAGAGGAGCCATCAGATCCAAACACGAAGCAACGGCAAGCCTCTCTCTTCAGACTTCTGCAACCCTAGAACCTCCCCATTTGAAAAGTGTCATTTCAGGCTATTTCTTATGCACTGGAAGACAGAACTCACCTGTGCAACACATAAAAGGCTTCTGATATGAAGAGATGTTTTTATACATCATGGATGATAATCTTCTACTGTGAACGCTTTCCCACAGTTGGCTTGTTTGTTTAATCAACCTAACCCACATGCCGCTCACATACAATGAAATACTCTCAAGCACAGTCTGATGAATTCTGATGAATGATCATGTACGTAGAACCCCCACCACAACCAACACATAGTCCATCCTCCCCTACCCCATGGTCTGAACCCTTCCGGTGCCTCCCTTCGCCCCAGACACAGACAACCCCGACCCGCTCACCGACACTGCAAGTTAGCTGTCTTTCCTCCACTGTCCGCCAGTGCATTCGGACAGCACGACTCTTTTCTGCCCGGCTGCCTGACTCAGCAGAATGCTTCCGCGACCCCACTTGCTGCCACCGCCTCAGCGGCCCCTCACTTTGTGTGGCCAAGTTGTACTGAGCTGCTTGAGACCACACACCCGTCCTTCCTTCAGCTAACGGACGTCTGTCTCCGGCCCCGGGCGCCTGCCCGCGAAGATGCTGCGGGTATGTGAGCACCAGTCTAGGGGAGCTATGTCTCCACTTCTGCTAGATAAGGACCTGTGAGTGGGATTTCTGGGTCATACGACAAATGAAGATTTTGATCTAACAAGAAACTGTCCGTGTTTTGCAAGTTGGTTGAACCAGTCGACACAGATTTTTACCGTTTGGGAGAAAGCCACATCTTGTGTTTCCAGAGCTAGTAAGTCAAAGCAGACGCTGCTCATAGTCTATTCTGACCTGCTGCTTCGGAGACGGAAAATCCTCCCACCCCAGGACCCTCTCCACATGCTGCGCCATCTGCCCGGCATCTTCTCCCTCGCTTTTTTTTTTTTTTTTAAAGATTTTATTTATTTAACAGAGAAACACAGCCAGAGAGGGAACACAAGCAGCAGGAGACAGAGAGGGAGAAGCAGGCTTCCCGCCGAGCAGGGAGCCTGATGCGGGGCTTGATCCCAGGACCCTGGGGTCATGACCTGAGTCGAAGGCAGACGTTTAACCGAATGAGCCCCTCAGGCGCCCCCTCCCTCCCATTTCTTATAGGCACTCGCTGGTGTCTTCACACCTCAAGTTCAGAAGCCGCTCCGACAAGAGCTTCTGTGACCCCTCAGTCTCACAAATCCCCCTCCACAGCACAGCCCCTCAAGCAACAGATCCTCGATGGCTGCGTACAATGCATCCTTAAGGGGTAGGGGTAAGTAGGGACAAGACAGAATCCCTGCCCTGACAGAGCACACAATCCGGTAAGCGGAGACAGCAAACAAAAGGGTTCGGGATACAAGGCAAGGGGGGTAAGCACCATGAAGAAGAAGCCAGGAGCCTGCAGGAGGAAGGCCATGGGAGTCCCGACAACATGGGGGGATAGCTTCTGAGGGAGAGACCTGCTCCCCACGAGCCTGACGAGAAAGGGGGCTGGCGGTGTTTGACAAGAACAGAACCTCACGGGGGCCTAGCAGAGTCCATGCTGCTCGCCTCGCTAGTACCCGCCACTGCGGGAGCCCCCCGTGCGCTGGGGCCACATGACCTGCAAACGCGGGCCTCACCATTGGGGCGTGTCTGTGTCTGGTTCCAGTCACCATCCAGGCCCTAACACCTAGCGAGCACGCCATGAACTACGGCTGAGTCCACCAGTGACTGAAAGAGGAAACAAAGAAAGGAAGAGGGCCCCAGACGGCAGCCTCGCTCACAGGTGTACACATGCCGGGCACATTCCACTCCCCACTTCACTAGCCCTGTGAGCTCCCTAAGAAGGATGAAAAACCTTGTCGAGGTAAGACTTTCTGATAGGAAATTGAGCTGCATTTGTTTATCATTTCTCTGTTTACAAATGTTCCCACTGAGGATGTCGTATTACAAAGGCTGACTCCTGGTCCACCCCGTTAATGGGGATGGAAGCAGAGGAAAGGAAAAGGGGCTCCAGGAGAGCCCTCCTGCCCCCGCCCTCTGGTCCTCTTCTTGCTTCAGGCTCGCTACACCATTGGAGAGTTCTGCCTTCTCCAGCTTCGGATGCAGCACTGGGGTCTGTCCCTGACTTTACAATCATTCCCTTACCTCGTGTTGCCAGCATCTGACTTCAGTAACTACACCAGGAGGAGACAAACACGCAGCGATGAGACCCTGAATTATGTACCAGTGGACGTGTGTGTGTTGACAGAGGCACGTGTATGTCACGTCAATTCTCCCACTGAAAACCAGGCAGGGCATGGGACAGCTAAGGCTCTTCATGGCCTCCGATAAATGCCCAAACATTAATGTTATTTTGAAAGATACACCGCAAACACTCAGCTGCAAACACAGATCCAAGCGTAACAATGAGGTAAACAGGCAGAAGTGGGCCTCCAACACAGAAATGTCACTACCTAAACGTACCTTCCTTAAGTAGGCTGTAGCAAAACAAACGAGCTCTTTCCAAGTCCCCAAGTTGCCGACAGATGCCCACATACACTCTGCAGAGGGCGTGAATGTAATTGCGCTCCATGGAGATCTTCTGCAGTTTCAGTTCTGAGAGAATAGAGTGCAGCAAGCACTCTGCCAAATGCTAGGTTTGAGAAAAAGAAAAAAGAAAAGGTAACGTACACTTGAGTTGCTTCTGTCTGCTAAATAGCTCAAGTTACAAAACCAAAGTAGGGCCATGAATCTCGCACTCTACCAGCCAGCAGAAAACAGCGGTCACTGTGGCAAACCACCTGCTTTTACTCAGCCCAGTGACCCACCCCCCCGTCCCCTGCCGGGTGTGGGGGGCAAGAGGTCCAAACCTGCAGGCTGCCTGCAGGTGCCAGGGGCCCTGCCCGAGCACATCCGTGTGCCTGCCGCCACGCCAAACAAGTAAACTTCCTTGGTTTGGGCTAAAATAATTTTGTGTGTGTGCATTACACTCACTCTACATTCTTCTCCCATTCCTGTTTTCTGAATTCTGATGTGCCCTACACATTTATCCTGTTTAGGTCTTAAAAATACTGGGCAACAATTTTCCTACTTAAGAAGAAGGGCATTAAATAATTTGATCTATTTGTTCACTTGAAAATAAATTATCTTTTCAAAGTGACATGTATTACTTCCTATACTTTCTGGAAGTAAGCAATCTACAAAAACCACATCCGTATTGTTACCACTATGACTCTCAGGATGTGCAGCTAACCAGCACAGCGCGAGCCACGAGACACTGGAAAGAATCCACACAAGGTGTCGACATGGGAACTTGGAAAATACAACCCTAGAGAAGTCCTAATACCCCAGCTGTGTGAATCCGCACAGTGTTCCCACCTTAACTGTTCCTATCTTGAAACCAAGATCAGTTCCTGTTTCATCGGTGACAGATATTAAAGGAGGCACAGGGGAACCCCTAGCTCTCTTTCTAGAAGGTGCTCAGACTCAAATGTGTGTGTACTGTCCACAGAAAAGGCTCCATTACAGGAGAATAATTTGATGCTTTGGAGCAAACCATTTTGAGCTTTTAATCATGTTGGAATTGATGGGAAATATGCAACTGTCGTCCTGACAATCACTTTCATTTCTTTAAAACTTTAAGGTATTTGATGAATACAAATGATCAGATCGCCAGTGTCTTTTCACAACTCAAGTACACAAAATGCTGACTAGAAACAAACTGTAGGTCACAATGTTTATACGGGTATCTGTCTGTCTCGGAAATCAAGTTTCTGCTCAGGGTCATCTACCACTTCGCTGAGAGCAGACAGCCTGTCTCTGAGGACATGCAATTCCTAGTGCTCCTACAGAAGAGCAACCACGTACCTTTTTGGTTGTGCTAAACTCATGAACAACTTCCTTCTCTTGATCTCTCATGACAGGCTTTTTGGAGATATTTCCCACATACACATGACTTCGAATGACAGGTAAGAGATCAAAAGACGACTCTGCGATCTTCTTCAGTGCATCAGCTATGGCTTTGTCATGGGACTCTACAGTTTCTTTTGGGTTTGGAGGCAACTGTGAAACCGCACTGACGGTCAGAGAAGAACTTTCTTCCTCTGCCGCCACAGCTTCAGTTTGAGGGAGGCTCCTCCGGAGGGCCTTGCTGACTCCTTCTGTAGTGGCGCCCCCAGTTTCTGGTTCTGGGGACCCACTGTCCAGCCGCAGTCTTTTGGCGCTCCTCAGCGTAGATGCAGACAATGTCCTTTTCCCTCCTGCATCCTGGCGAGTCCCCCCATCTCTGGATTTGTCCTGACTACAGTCACTCCCTGAGCTGCCCCCTGTCTTAACAAAGGCGGTGGATGTTGAGGTGATTGCCTTGAAGCCTGTGATAGCACTGACAGGCCCCGCTAAGCTCTTACGGTCTGCAGGAGGACCTCGAGTGAGCTGAATGTTCCCTTTGAGAATGTTGAGGGTACGGGCCCTGGCAGACAGCTCTGGGTACATGGTGTCGAGGATTTTAACGGAATTCTCCTGGGGTCCAGCCACAGCCGTGTGGGCAGATGCCAGAGGCGGGAGGCGGCCAGGCACAGGGAGGGCATGCTTTGGGGTGGCAGCACAAAATTGCAAGGGTGATGACACTATCCTCTCGCCGGCCGGTGCAGCAGATGGGGACGGAGATGTGCATGGGGGAGAGAGGCATCCCGGCTCTTCCGGCAAAGGAGACATCACAGGAGGCACAGGGGGTTCACACAAGGGAGAAATCTGGCCAAGAGGAGAGGTAGGTGAGGAGGGAGAGGACGTTGCTAGCAGCGGAGAAACTGGCTGCGAAGTCCTTGGAGGTGTAGCAACCAGAGGAGCAAGCAAGGGCGGCAGAGGGGGCCCCACCTCCTGCCGGATTTTACTCAGGGTATCAGAACAATCTGTAGGAGTTGATGTGTCAGCATTGGCTAGAATGGTCTGAGTTTGATTTCTCTGAGTTTTTGTGCTCTCTCTTTCCCCTGAAAATGACTGAGAACCTTCATTCTGATTAGTTTCAACTCGGCTTGATGCCAAAGCCTTTGCCGACCTGTTTGATTGATCTTTGTTTGAAATCTTTGATCGATTCTTATTTTTGCTGAATGGCTCTAGTTTCGAGTTAAAGTACGTGTGATCAGATGCAATGGTCTGAGACTCAAAGTTCTGATCATAGATCTCAGAACTAATCCTTACGCTAGGTTTGACAGGCCTGTTACGCAAACGACTTTTATCAAAGTTGGTGCTCTGGCTACTGCTGGAAATTTCCTCTTGGGCACATGATAGGGTGCTGCCGCACTGGGGCTCCTGAAATGGAGGGCCAGGGTGACCGGTCTCTGGGGACTTCTCCATGGAAGTAAGGGAAATGAAGCCAGCTCCCAGGCCTCCTCCATCTGGGGAAACAGGGATGTCTTCGGGAGTGTCACACAGTATGACCTGGTCCACATTTGGCATGAGAGCTACCCCATTTATGATGGTCCAGTGGTCCCCCTTTTCAATGACGAGATTTTGATCCTTATTGATGAGCACGTTTATGACTTCGGAGGTCACTGTTGATATCTGGCACTGAAACGTCGTTTCTGCCCCCTCCTCAGCACTGCCTTCTGTGGTCTGCCCCGCCACGGAGTCAGAGCGCTGGGGGGAGGACTCTGCCCCACCGCGGATCGGGCTGGTGACACTGGGAACACCCTCAGGACTGCCAGGAGTGACTGCGTTACTCGATGAGCCGCTAGCAGGAGAACAGCCCTTGCCAGTCATGCTGGCTACTGGAGGGGATGTACCTGAAGGGTGTGGGGGGAAGCCACTCGCCCCCTGAGGTGGGACATGCTCTCTGACAGGCTCACTGGTCACGTCATCGTGCGTATTTGAGAGCACTAAGTCAGCAGCGTCTTTTCCAGGAGAGCTCTCACAGCTGGCCTGAAGCTCCCGTCCAAACCTGGTGAGCACCTCAGACAGCGTTTCCAAGGAGCGCTGTGTGAGCTGACCTGTGCTCTTCAGAGGACCGTCCTCTTCCTCGGATTCAATCCACTCTTCGGAGGTTTCAAGGGTTTCTTCTTCACAGAGCTGCTTTCTGTACTTTCCTCCTGAGAGGTCACCTGGCTTTAAGTCTTTGTTCATTTCTTTATGCAGGGTTCCTCTGCTAGAACATTCTGAAACAGAGTCCCCCGAACTGTAATCTCTTAACTGACAACTTTCAAGAAACATCACGACCTCGGATGTAGAGAGCCCGTCGATCTCAGAAAGGGTGCTGATGTTGAAGTCCTGCAGCGCGGAGGTCAGACAGCCCACCTCGACGGGAGGCCGAGTCTCGGCTGAGCCAGCGCCTGGGGCTCCTAAACCTCTTCTGGAGGCGTGAGCAGCCCCCCGCGGTCTGTCCCCCAGCGCGGCTTCGGGCTCGCTCTCCCCTTCGCTACCGCTAGGCGCCTCACTCTCCTCCACCTCTGTGTCGCCACCTCCTCCCTCCCGAATGCCCGTGTAACAACACACAGGCCCAGCGAGAGCACTCGCGGGGACAGCACGCGTCTCCTCATCTTTTCTGAGAATCGCCGATGGGAGAGCCGTCCCTGTGGTACCTGGACCTTCAGGAGAGGCCCTGCCAGGAGTCTGAGACGGCAGCTCTGGGGACTCCTGCAGGCTCGGGCGGACACGGGGAGAGCCCTCCAGGATGGCCAGAGCCTTGCTACCAGATCTGCCCGTGCCCCCATAGGGCACTCTGTCAACAGCGCAACTTCTGGACACTGGCACTTCTGGAGCGGGACGGAGTTGGTCCCCAATCAGCCCAGAGGAGTCCAGACTTGCGGCATGAAGGAGCAGAGTTTGCTTCGGCACTGCCTCCTGTGCTGAGGCTTCGGTTGTGATGTCTTGATTTGGGACAGGGATGTTTTTGGGAGAGAAAGACGGTTTGCTATTTGTGGAACTTGGAAAACTGAAATTTAATTTTCTCCATGAGGCAGAAACTTGTGGCGAGGTCCCTTCATTAGCAGCCGCTCCCTGGGCAGCCCACGCCGTGTCCTCTCTTTCTCCGTCACGTCTGGCTACAGAGGACGTGGGAACAGCCCCAGGACCGGCGTGTGCTGCCCCGAAGGGAGGCTCAGTCTTCCGCTGCCTCCAGGGTTCCAGTCTAGTGCTCTGCACTGTGTCGGGCCGGGCCTGCTTGGTGATCACGGACACTTGGTTAGGCAACAGTGACGTAGCAGCCCTGAGCCCCACGGGGTTATTTTCTGAGGCAAGCTCAGGCTTCGATGTGGACCGTCTACTTTCTAAGGATGCTGCTGCCTGTTGTACCTGATGGTTAGTCTTCTGTTCGGGTTCTGACTTAGCCCTTAGCCTTTCTTCTCCACCTCTCCTTAACACATCACTATGGTGCCATGAAGGGCTTTTAAAACCAAACCCACCCTTGGTCAAGCCACGCTGAGACTCTAGCAATGGTGTAGAATCCGCCCTAGTCAGGGGGAGCTCAGCTCTGGGACCCTGGCTTCTGCACTGTGCGTCTTTCATAGCTTTTATAAATACTGACTGTGCAATTGAACAGACTTTGGGAATGCCTTTCAAAACATCTGTGGACTTGACCTCATTGCTGCTTTCATTATTAAAATGTGATGCTCCCAACTCAGGGCTCAAAGCACACAAGCTATTCTCCAGATGGTTCTCTCCGGGAGGACACTCTGGGGGCTCAGGCTGCAGATCTAGCACGTTCAAGGTTTCAGCTTGTAACTGCTGTTCTGAATGGTGCAGTTCCACAGCAGTAACTTTAGCAGGAATGTGTTGGTCATGAGCATACTTCAATCCAGAGGAAGATGGGGAGTCACTGCAGACAGACGATGCTCCCGAGGTAGAAGAGGAAGAAAGGCTGGCATCACCACGGAGCCCTGGGGCACCCGCTGCATCACCTACATCGTCCTCTGGCTCAGGCGATGCTCCTAAAATGAAGTCTTGAGCATCTCGCTTCTTTCCCGATACTCCACACATTCCCTGGAGGTGGTCAGAGATTGACAGATGATCTGATTCAAGAGGGATTTCATTACTTAGTGTCCACTTAGTAAACTGTGATTTGGGTGATCCTATCATTTTGGATAGTAGGGTTTTTCCTTCAGATTCCATGAGTTCACTGAATGGCCTCTTGCCGAGGGTAGAGGAACACGTGTCAGACTTCCGGAGGGCTGCTCCCCTGCCCTGTGCCCGGCTGCCAGATGACGTCTCAACACACACGTTTCTGATGGGTTCATGAAGTGTGTTCTCAGTCTGCACCGACTTATCCACCTCCCTAACCTCTCTCTGTCTTTGTGCCTCATCTGAAATGGCTCTTCTCCCGTCACTCGCGGACTCAGATGACACCATCCAGTGTTTCTCGTGAGCTACGGAGTATGCAGCTGAAGGCTCTCTCAGCGTTGCTGTGAACGTCCCAAACCCGACAGTTGTCACTTCATTTACTTCCAGCGTAGCCAGAGCCTGGGAGGCTTCATGTGATTTGAGCTTCTCCTCCCAGGTACCACCACTTCCTTTACTTTTTCTGGATGAACCAAAATACTGTGATTCAGATGTCTCATCTTCTGAAACAGACTCAGCAGAATTTCTATGTTGGGACAATTCATTATCACTGGAATCTGTATACTCTCCGAAGTAGGTTTCCTTAAAAACGAATGAGTTATTCTTATTAGTTAAATGTTAACTAAAATGACTAAACATACCTAACAATTAAATGCCTTAAAAAGCGATTCTTATGAAATACTAATTGGACCGACTACATATAACTATCAATTAAATGCATTCCTGAAGAATCCTTTCAGACACAGCCAAAGAAAGGGTAGCTCCCTGTCCGGAAGCTGCCAGCAGGGAGACGAGCTGCGGTCTGAGCAGCCAGCTGCCACCATTCCCGGACCCGTCTCCCCGAGCTCCCCACACTCCCACCGCACGCTCCTCCCACAACAGACACAGCCAGGATTCGTCTATCCTCCAAAGGGCCAAACATTCCTACTCTCCGGCTCTTCCTCCCCGTTTCCGGGCACAGAACATGTCCAACTCTGGCTGCACAGCCTTCCATCCCCCTGCTTCCAGGTCACTCCTCTGCAGGCGTCCAGCTCCAGCAGAGCGGAACTGGCGGCCACTCCGGGGAGCGACCTCCAAGTACCTCCTGCAGACATGTCCTCGTGCCTGGGCTGCATCTGCGATGCTGTTGCCAGGTGAACGAGCTCTACCTCTTTCAACAGTATGCACACTGACACCGCCCCTTCCCACACAGCCCTCTCCCCATCTCTGCTCCAGAAACCCCCTACACCCCAGCGCAGCCCCCGCTGTTTTGGCTGAACTGCCCCGTCACGCGGCGCAGCAGGAGAGCCGGTTCCTCCACCGCCTGGCCTCCTTCTGAGCACCACGCCCGTGGTTCTAAACTCCTATTGCACGTGCCCCCCGCCAGGCCCATGCGCGCCTGCATCCCCAGCTAACACTGACACGGCACCCACAGCCCCCGGAGCAGGGCCGCCGGTTTCTTTCCTTCGCTATTTGCAGCCTCCCCGCCTCCTCCACCTCTGCAACCGCCACACTAAAAACCTCACCAAATGCTGCTCATCGGCCTCCTAACGTTTCTCTAACCAGCCCCACCTCCTGGACCCCAGTGCCGCTGCGGGGATGAGATGTCGAGAACACTGGAAGCTGCTGATTCAGTCAGGGATACCCCCCATGCTCTTACCTCTGTCCAGATTATCCCCACTCCCTATTCGATCACACAGAGGCTAAACGGAAACTTGCAACTGAACGTCTATCATTAAATCCACTTCCCAGATCCACCAAGGACTTCCTACTGCCCTCACAATAAAATGGAAAGTCCTAAGGACACAGATGGCCTCTGCTGACCTGGTACGCATGAATGTCCTCTGGCACAAGCTCACCTTCAGTCCCATGGCACTGTGTAAAGAGGTCCTCCACCTGAAGCAACCCACCCTCTTGAACACTCAGCTGGGTCCCGTCTTCCCGGAGCATCCCTACCCTCCTTGGCCTCCCTCAGGAGCCAGCCTCTGGCCTGGGTCCTCTCCAGCTGGTGTGCCCCCAGCCCGGCAGTCTCTACCACAGCTGTGCGATCACCTGCTCCCTCCCCCGCCCAACTGCCACACAAGATCCAGCCAAGTGGTAACCACGGACTAAGTCACATCCGTGTTCCCAGGCCAAGCGCGGCCCTGGAACAGAAGAGATGTACACTGCTTCCTGAAGAAAGGGAGTGACTCAAAGCAATGCATTTATCTGCTCCTTAAGCCAAAAAGCATACAAATCCGCTTCATCAAGGCTTAACTCTCTAAGAATTTACAATAAACCCCTCTGCAAACACATGAAGAGGTGATGAAGTCATCAAACAGAAGCGGGGAATCTGGCAAACACAGGTTAATGGGCATGTGTGCTACGTACATGGTTTCCCCATCTCCAACAAGCTCCAAGCCTGCAACCATGCCTTAATGCATTCACTGCGTTAGGTTCCAGGCAGCAGAGAGAAGAACGACTCGAACACGGTCCTCCCACAGGGGAATGTGAATTAGGTTGCGGATAAAGACACACAGAATGCAACCTTAAGTGAACATGTCATGGGCTCCACGTTCTTGTAAAGAGCATGGGCATGCCCTCGTCAATGCTCACATCTGCCCCAAGAAAGTCTGGTTTGAGTATCACTGAGCAGCACTCCCTGAATACAGCCAACGTTGTCAGCATGAGCAACGTGCCCGCATGAGAACTCAAATGCCAAGTGCAAACTCACAGGCGCCAGTGAAGAAGGTAATGTGCTCAGGGGTGGTAGGGACACCAAAGGGGGTGACGGCACCGGAGACAACAGAGGAGGGGGAAGTCTGAAGAAGTCAACTGCAGCCTGGAGGTCTTCATCGAAACAGTGATCACGATCAGAGAAGTCAGTACTGTCCTCGTCAGTCCTTGGCACCTCAAGTTCAGGATGCCGGCCCTCGTTAGCTACGTGGTCACTGCAGTGCGCGGCTCCACTGTACTCGTGTCTCCCCACACGTCTACATGCAGAGAAGTCGCCCTCTATTTCCATGGACAGTTCTGCCAGGCACGTCTGCACAGCTGCGGCTTGGAGTGGCCTGCCACCTGCTGGAGGGGGCACACCATCGTCCCTGGGCTCTGTGGGCCCCGGGTTTTCTTTGGCAGGTTTCTCTGTGGGAGAAAAAAAGTTAAGTATCAAACATACGTAACATTAAGAAAACTTAAAAAATTACCCTAAGTATTCAAAATGCCTGCTTTATTGAAGAAACCCAAAACACAAGAACATTTTTTAAAAGACACCCATTCCCTTTCTACTGAATAATCACTCTGTAAGACCCACACACACTTCATGGAGGTGCGCTTCCCTCACAGTAAGCAGGACAAGGAGAAGGGCAGGTGGGCGAGGCGAGGCCCCGTGGCCCACGGGCCTCAGGCTGCACGGGTGGAAAGGCATCGCGGTGGCGGGAACGGGCAGGCCTTGTTGGCACACTCCCCATTTCAGTAACTATCTTTCCACACAACCAGCAGCATTCGGAGACACATCTTCGTGCAGAGAGACTGACAGGGAACACAATTTCCTCTGTCTGCAAAACAATAAAAAACCAGCCAACGATCAAGCCTACCCGATAACCACATCTGTACACTGCTGCAGTGAAGAAACTCAACCAGGTCACATACAGACGTCGCATTACGGTGCAATGGGAAATTTACTGTAAAAAGCCAGTGGTTTGGGGGTCTTGGTTTTGATGAGCTGCCGTGGTGCTAATTATCAGTGAAAATATTTGTGTCCTGGGAAGTAACCACAAATAACCATTCGTCATACTTGAAAGCTGGACATAAGGACTCAAGGCTCCCTGGAGAAGTGACTGACGATAGAGCTGGTGAGTGGAAAATACAAACAGGGCCTGAAACATCTTGCACAGCCAGAAAGAAGTTCTCAAAACAGGCTGGGGTATGCCTCAAGGGCCCAGGAGCCAACCCGAAAACAGTCCCAACAACCAAAGCTGGAGCAATATGAACGATGAAATAAACAAAAGTTCCGAAGTACAGAGCAGAGAATAAAGAGTTCCAATTAATGAATGTAGAAGGACAGAGAATTAAAATCACGAGCAGACCACGCAGCAATCGTAGCATGCAGGCTTTATCGGTTGATGCTAGGATCAGCGGGCCAGAGCGGGGAGAAAGTGACTAACTACAGAGCATCCACGTGTCTCTCTCAAGATAATTCACAGTAATGTAACACTGGGGAAGCCTGGCAGACACCACCTTAAACAAGCACTTCCACTGTCACCCCATGTCATCCATCCCGCCATTCCCTCCCCGGTACAATGTCCGGAGCAGAGCACAAGGGTACCACTGCAGAGTTCCTGCTGGAGAGAATCAAACTTCACTTAATATGAGAAAAGAGCACACAAGACAAAACTGATAGGTTTCCTATGAAATGATGCTTCCTCTCTGAAAGTAGGGAAGACAGGAGACAAAGAGACGCGGATGAACCGCCGGACCTGGGGGCTGAAAGGCAGAAGGCTGCTAGGTGCAAGGTGGGCTCCGGGGACCAACACGCGCCCAGAGACATCCATGTGAGCTTTCACTTAGCTAACCGTCTCGCACCAAGGGTTAAATTTAGGGGAATCTGGACTCGGAGTCTAAGAGAATTCCCTGCATTATTTTTGTAAACCTTCTCATATAAAAACAAAAAATTACAGAAACAAAAAGAGTATGTTTTAAGACTGAAGATTCCAGGGCACAAAAAAAAAAGAAAAAAAGATTCCAGGGCGCCTGGGTGGCTCAGTGGGTTAAGCCTCTGCCGCCGGCTCAGGTCATGGTCTCAGGGTCCTGGGATCGAGCCCCGCATGGGGTTCTCTGCTCAGCAGGGAGCCTGCTTCCCCACCTCCCCTCTGTCTGCCTCTCTGCCTACTTGTGATCTCTGTCTGTCAAATAAATAAATAAAATCTTTAAAAAAAAAATGATTAAATAGGGAGCCCTTTTAATAACATCTTAAACAACATAAAACCAAGTGCTTAGAATAAAACACAGCGACGAGCTGGTAAAGCTGACCGAGAACAGGCCCGGGCTACTTCTGCCCGAGCAGATGAGGACTTGGACCCTGAGCCTCAGGGGCCGGCTCAGGAGACCCAGTTGCCGCCCGCTTGTATCAGCAGAGTCACCGCACGGCACGTGGCACCTGACTGAACAGCGCCCCATCCAACAGGCCTCTCTCCGTCTCACAAAATCTCACGGAGTCAAGCACGAATGAGCATCAGCAACTTGCCTGGTAACACTTTTCTGAGGGAACTCTGCCTTCTGGAGCCTGAGAGAGAAAACTAGGTACACGTCTCTACAGACGCAGATCCTCGGCAATCTGTGAACTCATAACAGCAAATCAGAAGAAACCGGTATAATAGGGGGGGAAAAAAGTTAAGTAAGGAGCATTTTAATCTTATGCATGACAGCTAACTTCTCCCCATCCACTCTGGGATGACTAATACCTATTTCCAAAGCTTAAATCCTAAGTAGGGTGTAACTGAGAACGTGGCAGAAGGCCTCCACAGCTTTGCCTGCAGATCCAGAGAGCCCACAGATGAAGCCAAACCTGAAAATGAGCGGACAGTGCTGAAGAGTACTAATCTGATATGACAGCATGAAAGGAAACCACTGCTTATCGGTCAACACCAGTATTCTAAAGGAGACAGCGAATGTACAGCAGACAGTTCAACCAAAGGAACTGGTTACAAAAGTAAACCCAATGAGGCTGCTACTGGACAGAGGATACCGTGAAATGATCCGGAAAGCACCACGCCTCCCCAGAACTCTGCATGTTCCTGCCACACGCACTCCACTATGAGTCCTTCCAGCTTCCTCGCACGTCCTCTGACGAAAGCCACCATTGGAACAGTACAGGCCAAATGCACTTACTGAGACGAGAAGCCACGCTGAAGGGGAAGGGGCTCTGTAACTGAAAGTACCCGTTCCAATTTATCTCATTCTTTCAATGTCAGATTCAGGAGGCAGCAAAGGCTGAAGGCATATAATGCCCACAGTAAACATTTCTACTTCCATGCATGAAATGTACTTCTGGAAGCTTCTCTCTCACCTGTGATGCATCGGCTGCCTTCACCAGGTAGTCTGTGTGTTGTGTTTATGCAGAGCCAGAGCTCCTTCAGAAGTAGCTTTACTTTTCCTGCACAAAAGAGTAGAGTATTAACGACATGTCATTTGGCTCAATCTACAAAAGGCCGACACACACACTCCTGGGAAATCAGGATCTCTTAGGGGCTGGGGAAACAGCTAGGGACCAAGGCTTCTTCCCCAAATCCAACCACTGTGCATAAATCGCTAAGCTGCTGGTGGGAAGGCCTGCAACGCTCCCTCTGAACCATGAGGACAGGCTTGTTTTTTCCCCAGGGGTGAGGGGAATGGGAGGGCACAAGACTCATAAGACCAAATCTACTTGCTGGTAAAAGTCTTTACCACCTATTTGTATGAATGGACCATACACCTTCTACAGAAAGTGGGGAGAGATGAGGGACAGAAGCACAGATATAGTGTCTGATAAAAGAAACGCTGGCTCTACGTTTACTGCAAACAATAGCAGAAAACACCCCTCAGTGACATGAGGGTGTCAGAGAACTCGTCAGAACTGACCATGCTGGGTAGAGCGTCCAATTCATGATCTCAAGGCTGTGAGTTCAAGCCTCACGCTGATGTAGAGATTACTTTAAAAATCTTAAAAGACAAAAATCAAAAGACAAAAAAACTGGCCATGTTGTAACTAACCTGGGGGCTTTGTGGAGAATAGAATATTCATTAACAGTCTTAAGGGGTTAACAGGGTGGAAGACAGAAACGTGTATGTATAAACAGGTGGAAAGGAAGAGATTATCGCACAAACAGGCAGACTCACAGAGAAACATAAGCTTTTAAAAGGGAAGTGAAAGCCTTGGAATTTTTATACATTTTCAAAGGGATTAGGATTCCTAGAATAGTTAAGAACCACTGGTTCAGGTTGAAAGGTACACATTTCTCCAGATTTAGATCCTCTATGATCTGTGAATTCAGATCGTTTTAAATACAGCAAGCCTAATGAAATTCATATAACTAAGAAGTGACACTACGGTTTTACAGTGAGTTTAGCATTAATATGTATACACATTCCCAAAAAACTGCCAGACAAAAAATATTCATAAAAATTTAAGTATGACTAGCTTGTGGCCAGATATGCATAAAAAGACCAACCCCGCTAATAAAAATTCAACTAAAAAAAACTTTAAGTATTAGATAATTTCAGGCCTCCTCAAGTTCTATTATAATTTCCCTTAAGTTCTTAAATTGGCCTGAAGCATTTATTGAAAATACTGAAATCTTTAATCCAGTTCTAGAGAAGATGAAAAACCAACCTTTTAACCCAAAATATCTGCAAGAGCTCACATATTTGGAAATAGGTCAGCCCTATTTAAGCCGGCCAACTGTATCACTCCACAAAGAGCGCTGTCCCCAGAAGAGCGGGCCAGGGTAAGTGGTGAGGACACAGTAACAAGGCAAGCTTAAAAGTTTCCCATTTCCAACCTCTCTGAAGCTCAATCGACTTCTGACTGTCACTGTGTATGAGCCACACCCATTCTCTAGTTTGAAAATTCTGTGATCAAGTAACTTAACTGCATTGTGATTTAACCTACCCAAAAGCCTGCTTCCAAATACTGTAATGCCCTTTGCTTAAACGCCCTGACCAGGGTCCCTGCGTATTACGTATACCCAAAGCAGCAAACAAGGAACCTTAAAAAAAGAGAGAGAAAGTTACTTTTCTATTCCTATGGAAGCTATTAAGCAGAGCTATGCCTTTTCTGAGCACTTGTTCACTACCTCTAATCTCACAAGACAGAACTATCCATTCCCAGTAAAGCAGGAAAACACAAACACCACCCCTCCAAAAAAACCCCGCACTGTGGCTTCATTGCTTAGCTGTGAAGAGAAAAGCTCATTATGTTGAACCGCACACCTTCCACCAACCCTCTACAGTCCTGCCCGTATCAAAACCTAAGGCGTCCATGCGTGTCCCTGTACTTGTCTGCTCTGCTGGCCTGTCCGGCGTCACACGAACGCCGCGCTCCCACAGTGAGACCGTCACAACTGGGTTTTACAACCCGGGTGGGCATGAGCCTCACTAAGGTTTTTCCTTTTCAAAAACCTGATTATTCCAAACATCAATTATTCTACCCTGATAAGCCTAAATTTACCATCTGCTTGCCCTTTCCCATCTAAAACTCAGTGGGATTTGAGTAAGACTGGATCTTTAGAAATACGTCTGGGGAAACCTCCCATCTTTATGCCGTGAGCCTCTGATCCAGTAACAACGTTCACTCCCGTGTTCTGGGCTTTCACACTCTTCCGCAGCTTTACAGGCTTCTTCACAGGAGCCTTGCACACTGCTCTCAGATTTTTCTCTTCCTAGACGCGTTGATCCCACTGCCTTAACAGGTGGTTCTCATTCCGTCCTGATTCCGAGAGGCTGAGGACAGTGCACTCGATGTGCCCAAAGCCTGTACCACCACTCTGCCACGCTCCTGTACTTGTTTTCCAACTGAGTCTGCCGAGACAGTCTCATCATTTGAAACCATGACAATCCTGCGTCGTCCTGATCAGTACTTACAGCCCCCGCTCTTCCATGAGGGCTCTGCTGCACAGCTCGGCGGGGCCCCCAGTGCATAATAAAGAATGGAGGCAACCAGAAGCACCCGTGCCTACTTCTGACGGTAAAGACCAGGCTCTTCAGCTTCCACCTTTCTCAATCTCCAAACGTGTTTTTCTACCATTACCTCACCAAATATTTTTTTATGAAAAATGGGTGCCGTATTGAGATGATCGTCTCATTTTTCTCTTAACCAGTGGTAGTGGTCTTCCTAAGATAAACCCTTAAATCGTGATGAGTCTGTATATTCTACTACTCCGAGAATGGCGTTCTCAAAATTTCGTTTGGTATTTTTGCAGCTGTATTCCCAACTGACAGCACGTGTGTGTGAGTGTGTGTGTGTGTGTGTCACTCTTAGCTGGTTCTGGTATAGGGCTATTTGAGTCTAAGACAATGACATGGAAAGAAGTCTATATTTTTCTAAGTTCTCAGACACACAAAAGAACAAAAAAGACATTAGTTTGACTCACTGAAGCCTTTATAGAACTCACTTGTAAGTCATTTGGATCTTGTATGGTATTAGATCTTTAACTAATTTTTTTTAATTTCTTTTGCATTATTTTTCTGTTCAGGTTTCCAACAACCAACCCAAGTCAATCTGAGCATGTTTCCCTTGAAAATGGTTCATTTCACAAACAAGATTCAATTGGAATATAAATGTGTGAATTTGGGAATTCTCTCATTGTGGCTTTTTCGTAGCTTTCCCAGCCGTGAGGCCTTTGTGTTTCTGTTCCTTCCTTTCTTGATCAGACCTGCCAAAAAACTGTCGGTTTCAACAGCCCTGCAAAGTCCCAGCTGTTTGTTCTAATGGGCCCAAATCAACAACTTCTCCTTCTTTCCATTTTCCTCAGTTTTTGTTGCATTTTCCTACTTTCCCGTCATTCTTGCTTTCTAAAATAATCACGTAAGATCACTCATTCCAGTGAATACCACACTGACAATATCTCAGAGACTTTAATACTGCCCTACAGTTGTTTATTTCAGTTTTTATGTTCTCTGCTACCCAAAAGGAGTTGGTTTGTGTTAATGCATGCTCATTTACCAGACAGATGTGGAAAGTTGTGGGGTTTTGGGGGGTTCGGTGGGAGGGAGAGATTTTTATTAATATCTTATTAAATTTCAGTATCATAATAGTATCTCATATTAGGCTGGAGTTTCTGCTGTCTAGCAAACAGATTTCATATATGTCTGAAAGTATTTTAAAGAATCCTAGGTGTGCGGTTTAAGAGTTAGGTGTAGGGACGCCTGGGTGGCTCAGTTGGTTAAGCAGCTGCCTTCGGCTCAGGTCATGATCCCAGTGTCCTGGGATCGAGTCCCACATCGGGCTCCTTGCTCTGCAGGGAGACTGCTTCTCCCTCTGCCTCTGCCTGCCATTCTGTCTGCCTGTGCTCACTCTCTCTCCCTCTCTCTCTCTGATAAATAAATAAAATCTTTAAAAAAAAAAAAAAAGAGTTAGGTGTAAATCATCAATCCTGAAATTACAAATCCAATTCCCCTCTTTCTGTCTGCTTTTACAGATGACAGCATCTGAGAAACACACTAAAGCCTCTCGCAGAAACAGGAGACTACTCCCTCCAGCATTTCCAGACATTTTACCACAGAGTCCCACATTCTTAGTCTATGACACCAGCGTCTCCTTGATGAACTGCACCTAACCTGGATATTTCCTTTCAATCCATGTAAACTCATTTCTAGGCTTGAATTACTTTGTGCCTGGTTACTACTTTCAAGTCAGCATTTACTCCAAATTTCTCTATCTCCCTACATTCAATCTTTCCACTTCATTTGATTTTAAAAATACTTCCTATTAACATGCCAGAAATAAAGACCATACACAGAAGTCATGCTCAACACCTGACAGGCCTTTCTAATAGAAATACTGCATGTGTGTCCTGCTCTGAGATGTGTCCTTCAATCATTTCTTGCTGACCTCCTCTCCTCAGGGCTCTGGCCTCCCCTGGAGAGGTCCTGACAGGTGACCAGTGCGACGTGTATGATCTTGTTTTCCCACTGGCTCAATTTCACTGCAGCAACAGATTCTCTAAGGACACTAACTCTATTTTTAATATTTTCTTCCCTCCCGTTCGTGATTTAATACCATCTCCTCAGGGTTTTTTCCTTGGTACCTTTCTTCCCCGTGACTGCTGCTTCTCAGTTAGAGATGAAAGCTGAGGCCGGCCATCTCTGAGAGCCAGCGTGCACTTCTTCAGCCTACATTCCTCTGGTAATACATGAAGGTGCTCACTTCATGGACCTATGGGCCCTGTCTTCGGGGGGAAGGGATGCAGAGTGAAGCAGTTACGAGGATTTATACGGAGAACGTAAGTATCTCGTCTTCTGTGAACAGGAGTGGCTATCCTTCAAAGCTGGTGTAATTACCCAATTTTCTGATTTTCTTAAATCCACACCCACTCAGAGTGCCTCCTATGTCGCAAATGACACCTCACAGAACTAAACTTCAGGCCACAACGTGTGGATAAATGCTAGAGACTGTTTCTGAAACCAGAAGGCTATACATGTATTTTTCAACCTGAATCTATTATGTGACAAACCACTGATGTCCTGCTCCATCTCCCACGCCCTGCACCTCTGATCTTAAGAAACGCAGGGCTCCTACAATCAAATTTGCTTTTTGAAGCCTGCTATTTTTGCTGTAATTTTGGGTTCCATCACCAACTGATACCATCTGCTTTATTTTTCCTCCACTGGTAGTAAACTTTTTAACTCTAAAGGAGAGTTTTTTATTGTTGTTTTTTGGGTTTTTTTTTGGTATTGTCTTATTTTCTGACATCGCTAATGGATTTAAAAAGAAGGAAAGGCAAATGTGGCATTCAGGTGGCCTTTCAAAAGGTGAAGTCAACGCAATATACTTTCTCACTTGTGAATTTCTTTCAGAAGTACAGATGAGCCTTGAACACGGAGGTCAGAAGTGCTGACCCCCTGCAGAACTGAAAATCCATCTGTAATTCTGACTCCCCTAAAACCTAACTACTAATAGCTCCGTGTGAACCAGAACCTTTCCTGATAACACAAAAGGCAATAATATGTATTTTATACACCATATACATCATATTCTATATTTTTACAATGAATAAGCTAGAAGAAAGAAAACTGTTAAAAAACAGTAAGAAAGAGAAAATACATTCACAGTACTGCACTGTATTTATAGGAAAATACCCACATAGAAGTGGATATGCATGCAGTTCAACCCAGCGTTGGTGAAGGGTCAGCTATATGGGAGAAAAGTATTAAAGATATACTTAGTAATTAGGAATTAAATCCCCCAATGTCCACAGGTAAATAATTAACAGATTCCTAAAGCCTTGATGTATTTACCTGGAAGAAGTAAAATGTGCAGCAGACAACACTCACCCTCTTGGTGAGAGCAGAGAAAACAGAATGCAGGGATAGAGAGCAATTCCGAGGACACAGTGGGAGGGTCCAGTTTTAAATAGCAAGGCTTGAGAACCGTCAAATCCTAAAACAAACCCACCACACCAGCCCAAAAGAGAAGGTGACAAAAGCAGCTGAGCACTGGCTGGGAGCACCGAGCCCGGCGAGCTGCCACTTCCCTGGGCTGCACTTGTAACTCAAAGACTAGCCTTCCACACGGAGGGGCGAGGAAAAGAGGGTTGAAGCGCGTCCTATGAAGCAGTGACTGTGGGAAACAGCAAACCAGTGCCCAGGCAACTGAAAGGTGTTAACTATTAAAGCCTTTAGCCCAAGAAAAGGTGATCTTGTGTTCTGAATTAAAAACAAAAGGACAGGACGAAGGGAAAGGGTAAAGGAGGCTTGTAAAGAGACGCCATATCCTTGTAGGAACAATGGAAGTGGTTTCAGTAATCTCCACTTAGAGGAAAAAATAACACATTGGTGACATAAAAATACCATTATTTCCTTATTTATCATTTGAATTTCATCTCTACCAAGAAAGTAAGACAGGTAGAGCAGAAATCCGTATCTCCTCTTTAAAAATGGAGAATGAAAGGAAGAGAAGTAAATGGCCAAGGATCACACAACTAATAAAGAGAAATATTAAAGCAAACGCTTCAACTTCTCAGCACCCAGTGTTGTATCTTCTCGCCTACAAGAAAACACACTGCATGACAAAGACCGAAGCGTCTGTGACTCCCCGTTCCACAACTACTGTCTTACTTCCCCTAGAACACTTGGCCTTTCCTCCAAAAATACACTGGAGGGCTTTGATTCCAGTTTTCCTGCTTGACCTTAACAATTTTTATATACTTGGCACCCAAGAAATTTTATAAATTAAACTGGCAAACTGTAACCTAATTAAAAAAACTATACTTACTTATTGAAAAGTATGGAAATTATACCACAGACTGGTTTCCCTTTCCCAAGCAATACTGCTGTTGACTCTCATTCATCGGATTATTTGACCAGACAACAAGGTGATATAATACATACAATACGCACAGAGATGTAAAATGGATTATGACTTCTCTAACACGAACATCTGCTAAACCCTAGAAGTTCTTCAATCACAGGTAAGAGCAACAAGCAACCTCCCAGACCACCGGAAGTAAGGCACAGAAATTCGTAAGAAATCTGTAATATACTCACTTTTATCTATGCTTCCATAAGAATCACTTGAAATTTGTGTTCCAATATGCCTCAACTCTAAAATCATGGGGAAAAATACAGTTAATAAAGAATATTGCATATCAAAACAGAATTTTCAAGCAGTCCGCGAACACTCACCCTTTTCATTTTTCTGTTTAGAAAATTCATCGAGCCGTTCCTGTGGAAACAAAGTGCTGACAGGGTTTGAAAGGGGCAGGGAGTGCAGGCATCACATACCCGATATATAAGGCGGGGGTCGCTTCCACCAGGCGGCCCAGTTCCTCACTCCCGCATGACAAGGACGCTCTGGAGCCCTGAGGCCATAGGTGTCACCTGGGTGCACACTATTATCTATTACCTGTGTCTTCTTAAATTCCTTTTCAAGTATTTTCTTTTCATTCCTCAGTTGCTTGAAGTCCTGCGTTTGCTTCACAGCAGCCTCTTTAAAGACAGTGAACGAGAGACGCGGCAATAATTTACCGACTTCACAGCTACCACTAAGAAGATCCTCAAAATATCATCTACTGAGAGCTTTTCTCTTTTCATAAAACTTTGAAACAAATTTTGTAAAAAGTTACCGTCCCTTCAGCACCTCCTCAGTCAGGGATAAATGAAGGAACACGGTTTAAACTATGAACCATAAAACCACTGACTTGGCAGAGGCCCCAAGACGCCTTGGCAAATCCCAACACAAGCCAGTCCAAGCCTTCTGGTCAGACAAGAACCCAACACACATGACCTCTCTAGGAGGGCACTGTTCCCTCTTGCTCTTCAGCAATAAGCAACATTCACGTCTCAGAGACTTTAGAGCTGTGGGTTCATCTCAGAATATAGTCAATACTATCCTCTGCATTGGGGAAGTGGGACAATCTTCTCCATGCTTCTTATATTGTTACTTCTTCCTGGAATTCCCATCAACAAGCTGAGAGTTCTAGCTGCTAATACCTTTGCTCTAGATCTACTTTTAAGGTATTGTTTTAGCTCTTCTCTGGATCTTCAGCAAATTCTTCAGTCTGGTTTTTGATTCTGAAGCTCATGGTCCAAATACATTATTAAGAATCTAACCAGTATTAACTTTACCCAGTACATTCAGACACAATTGCCATGAAAACTAAAATCCCATAAAACACCACAGTAACAATTCTTTCCTGACTCCTCCACTGAGCTTGACTGTTTCTTTACCTGATTATTATGCCACATCACTCACTAGGGAAAAATATTTTTGTCACATGAGAAGTACAGGCTGCACTTCCCTTCAAAGGAAATCTGTCCTAAAAGTTGCACATAGTCTGAAACACACAGGCACCTCAGATCTCTTTAAAACACTTCCTTAGATAGACACTTATCTCCACACACCAGCAAGAGAAAGCCATCCTCAAAAAGAACAGTGATGCCACAGTTACTGCCGTATTGTGCTTGTGCAAAACCCAAATCAGAAGAAAAAATGTTTACAAAGTATCTGTACAGTTTAAATCTAAAAACCTGGGCTCAATCTAGGTAAATTCAAGACCGGAAGTATTTTCAGCAAGTTCTTGCCTATATGCCCCAACCCAGCTAAATTTAAATTCTTACTTCACACTCTACATGAAAAATGAACCATGCTCTGAGGCAGAGTACCAGCAGCATGTCATCACTATCTAAAAACATCAAATCTCCTGGTACTAAAGTAGTAACCTTTTCTTTCTATTAACCACTTATTTCAGGAAAAAATGAGAAAGCCCCATAATATTCAACTTTCGAAATTAAATCCTTTTACTGATTGCTGATTTTTAAGGTACAAACATGGACTGTCATTATTTTGAGTGCACAACATTTCAAAGATTTTCCACATGTCATTCCCATATTCCTATCCAGGAACTGAGAGGAATATTCAAACTTCTCCTTAACGGTGCTCTTAGCTTGGTCATTCAGGGTGCGCCCTCAAAAACATGATGACCCCGCTGCCGGTCAAGTCCCACAGCTCTGCACAGTCACCAATAATCTGTGCACAGACCAGTGGCTTCCATTAGCTAGATAACAACAGTGCCAGTTACCTTCCAGCTTCTTCACCTTGGCTTCTAGTTTCTTCTTCCTGAGAAAACAATTTCATAAATAGTAAAAACACATATATGTTATATCTATACACATATACATTAACATATATATGTGGGTGTATATATAGTATATACACACAGTTTGTGGTACATTTTTTAAAATTAAACTTTTTTTAATTAGTAAAATTGATATAACAAAGAAATGTCGGTGATGATGGGCACTGTGCATCAACCACTGAAATCGTCAGCAACTGTTCTGAAGGTAGAGTAAACTAAGAGAGAACAGTACACCATTTAATTTATAGTATTTCTAGAAAGAAATCTGTGTCTTTCTGTCATGCCACATCTGGGAGTCTCCCTGAGCCACAATGGCCTCATGTCCAGGCCAAGCTGATGCACCCCACTGGCCTCCTTGAACCAGTCCAGCATGGCCACTGTCACTCTCGGGAGCATGTGTGGTGGTAGTGATCACAATTCCATCTTACGGGAAGAAGAGGCTGGAGAGCTGCCCCAGTTTTCAGATAGATTTTTGGGTCAAAGAAGGCAGGTAACTCTGAGAAACTCTCTGAGGCACCATGACATCACGCCTACATTAGACTACTGTGTGTGTAGCTCACAAACTCTGTGAATCATGTGACTATCATCACTTGGATGCTTTCAAACAGCTTTTTATTAACGGTAACAAAGACACCCATTCCACAGCACACCTGTTAAAGTCCCGGTACCGAGGAAGGAGCTGACGATGATGTTTGAAAACACACAGATATGTGTGTGCGTGCACGTGTACAGACATAAAACACTTCTATGGAGTTCTTCCTTTGTGCAGCTTTTTAACATATCAAGACTTATCAATCCTCCTTATAATCCTCCAGGGGAGGTCTAATTTCCACTTGACAGACCTCTAGACTAATGTTGAGTGCCTAACTAGTTTAAGCTCATAGTTACAGCCCACAACCCAAAGACAGAGAGGAGAGAGCACTGATCTAAGAACCAGCCATTTTCAGACACGAAAACCGAATGTCGACAGTCATTTTAGAACTTACTGAGCATCAGTTTTCAAGCATTCTTCTTTTACACGTGCATATTCCTGGTGAGTATCTTGGTACAACTTGAGAGAACTCTAAGAAAAAGATAGCTGTTTTCAATTTGAAAGTCACTGACCACCGGTGAGAATTTACTTTGAACTTTGACCTTGATAAGTGAAATTATTACCATTTTTACCAGTAAGAAAATCAACCAAATGAGTACATATATTAGACAGGAAACCAAAGCAAATTCTTTGAACATTTTAATAGAGATAATCAGATGCTTAACAGATGTAATATGATCAACAGTCTCATCAAACAAAACTATGCAATTAAAATGTACTAATTTTAGGACAACTCCACATCTTCCTAAGACTGAATAGCCAATATTTTCCTCAACCAGTTAAAATTCAGCAAAATCTAAAGAAATTCTAGAGCTCAACAAATATAAGCTATCATTACTCCTACACAAAAATATAAAGCAAATCATTATATTTAACGATCTCTGGGGAAAATGTGCTACCGTCACTCAGGAGGTACCTCCTGACAGCCACCACGGCAGGGGAAATAATCTGTTGCCAAGCACTGTATCCTACTACAATGTGCATATGATAGGTCTTTAAAGGCCATAGACCAGATGGACTTTATGACCCCCTTTAATAGATGAAATGTCTGAGGATCCAGAAGCTGACTTATTTTTCCAAAGTCACAGAGAATGAGTGACTAATCAGCATTTCACATGGATGTCTGACTCCAGTGTTCATGCTTCCTCTCAGATAGAGCTGACAATATTGTTATATATTGGAAGCAGACAAAATTCAATGTTGTGGTTGTTTCTGTTTAATCTTCTTCAAGTAGTTACATATATATAATGAAGACTTTCTACAGAAGGAGGAAAGCCAATCACTGCTCAAGTACGTAGACCTCAGCCCGTTGCACAGCATTACACGAACAGCACCTGTCGAAGACTGAGAGCCAGACTCCGCCATGAAAAGCGCTCACTGAACAGGCTGAGAGGCAGGCATCATTCCAGCTTAGATAGGATATGTCTCATGAAAGAAAACCAACTAACTTCATTGGCCTTTGAATTACATTATCTGTAAAAGCTATGAATTCTCTCCTAAGACTCCTGAAAAGAGTAAACCAAAATTTATAACAAGCAAGTTTACAGCATTTTTTTTTTGTATTGCCCCCAAGCTTACAGCATTTTAAATAACTGTTTTACTGCAACTTGATTTTGAAACAGAGAACAAGATCTCTCCACCTTTAAGTTTAAATTTTTGCAGATTCTTTCACACTTACAGCAAGACCAATGTGAAAAGGCAACCAACGCAGGACACACAGAGCCCTAAAAATTCCCAGCCAGAAGGTTCCTCTGCAGAATCTCAAAGACCACATAAGCAACTAACACAGCATCAGAGAGCTAGTAATTACTGTGAGGACCAAGCCATTAATTAACAAGTTCGATGTTCTCTAAATAGAGGCATACACTTAGTGATTCTTGAGTACCCCTTGTTTCTTCTATTAAGACATAAAATACCCCCTCATACCAATGACAGTGAATAAACAGATGTTAATTTATGGAAGATAAACTTTTGTAGGAAAATTCCTCTGGGTACCTTCTTCTCTTCCAGCTCTGCTTTTAAAGACCCCAATTCTTCCTGACATTTCTGCAGAGGAGAAATTTTTTGAAGCATCTGTTCCACTTGGTGATGCAGGGTACTATTCTCTCTAAAAATGGACAAGATATTAGCATTATTATACAGAAGCACCTACAACGATTTATTAAATATGTCGACTGCTGCTATTCTATTTTTTCGAACTTGGAAGAAAAAAGGAATAAAAGAATCTCTCTTTTTAATGCCTTCTTTTTATACCAACATGATTTGCACACTGCTCTTTATTCTTTGACGTTATAGTCTGCTTCTAATAAAATTACATGAAAAACTACTTGAGAAGTAGATTCTCAGTCTGATAGACAATATATGAAAGGACAATATGCCAAAAAGTAATATTAATAATAATTACATTTTTCCAACCTTGAACCCAATCCCCATTTATCTAAATTAAATGACAGGCAATTTGTGGTCTGGTTTATAACAATGTTTTGCCTTCTTACAGGGGATGAATTTCATATTCAGAATATGAAACACCGCTAAAATTTCACATTTCATTATAACAATGTTTTGCCTTCTTCTGGGGGATGAATTTCATATTCAGAATATGAAACACCACTACATTTTCACTCCATTTTAAATTGTTTAAAATATACACGATAACCACATTATTGATCCAATTCATGCAGACAACAATAAACTTCATTTCAATGGCCACGCCATCAGTAAAACTAGTAACTTAAATACCAGGCTGTAATTTAAGACCTTGGTAAGAAATTCATTTGGGTAATTTAAGAGTAAGGAAAATACAAATCTTTTATGATGACCATCTAAGCAACATTCTATATGATGGGTCAATCCTATGTAGCACTTTGACTATTTATAAATCTAGTCTGATCAGTGTCCACCCCACAAAGAACCATGCAGACAGGTACTTACCTTCTTGCAAACTGCAGCTGTAAAACTTGTTAAAGAAAACTCTCAGTTTTATCTGATACTTGTCACAAGATTAAACTCACTTAAAAACACCTGTAAAAATCTCTGTTCAATGTATATACCAGGCAAGTTCACAATTCCTAGAAAACAATATTCCAAGGTCCATTTATAACACAGTGTTAAAAATTTTTAATAAGTTATTCTATTTACCATAACAGGTACCTAAAGTCAAAATATCTACTTCTCTAAATTAAAAGGCATTCAATTACATCGATGATTAACACTGAGTTCGGAGAATAAATACAAAGCAATATTCAACAAATGAATACTACCCTGGATCCTATAAATAACAAAATCCCCAAAAAGCCTAACCTGAATTTCTCAAATAGTCCAGAGCATAATTCCAACAAACATGAGTCAGGTACTAAGGAGAACCAGCTATCACTATATTCAATGAGTAAAGAAAAAAGAAACACATAAAACCTAGATAACCTCTCACTTTCACAATTTACACAATATGATAACTTCATTTCCCATCTCATGCTGCCAGTGAAAACAATTATCCTTTTACATTTCACCTCCTACAAGTTTCTATGCGTACACCATGAGGTGGCAAATGTCTGTAACAACATGTCTCTGTAACAACACGCCTCAGAATACAGACTTCTCCAGATTAGGGATTATACTCACCCTGAATTACCAGTCCTTGCGAAAAAGAGTTGTTCAAAAATACCTGATGAAGTAAAATGTATCCTCTCCTTCCGAAAAAGGAAATAATAAACTTAACAGAACAGTCAGAATTACACAAAAAGGTAAGAAATCAAGGGGTGCCTGGGTTGCTTCATCACTTAAGCATCTATCTGACTCTTGGTTTTGGCTCAGGCTATGATCTCAGAATCAGGAGACGGAGACCCTCGTGGGGCTCATTGCTCAGCGGGGCGTCTGCCTGAGAGTCTCCCTCTCCCTCTGCTCCTCCCTCTGCTCTCTCTCTCTTTCCAATAAAATCTATAAAAAAAAAAAAAAGGGTAAAAAATCAAGTTACATAACAAACCCATTTAAACCGGCACCATTAGCACCTTGGGTTGGAAGAGCAAACTACTACACACCTAAGGTACAAAAAAATACGTATTTGGGGCAAACACCAAATGTGTTTAAAAAAGAAAAAAAGAAAAAAAAAAAGAATCAATATTTCTTGTACCCAAGGCTGAAGAAGATTACCATATCACCAAATGAGTATTCCAGCATAATTCCAAGGTTTATCAATTTTTAATAAACTATTTTAATAATTTCAATTTAAAAATTTTATAAATTTTTAAAAGTAAACCGATTTCCCTGCTAGATTACATGTGTAATTACCTCATAAAGTTTATGCTAAAAAGGATATAATGAAAGTACACTGTCCTGATACTGGAATTAATTGGCTACCTATCTCCTATTTAGCTAATTAAAATACTTATAACTGTTTCTGTACGGGTTTCATAATCAGAGATATTATTCTTGTGATAATATACGTTTACAGTTCAACAGACTGAGAATTTAAACAAATGAAATACAAATTTTCACTGACCTCCATTTTTTAATGTAAAAATTCAGTACTAAAAATAAATCTAAGTCTTATGCCTTGATTTGATTACTCTAATCAGACAAGTCAGACATGATGGTACCAACACAAACAAACAATCAGTGACCACGTGCAAGCTCTGGGGGGCCAGAAATCCTATCAAAGCAGGCCTGGGGTTCCTGCCAAAGTTGAGGAGCGGCATCTGTCCCAAGACCTCGGCTGAAGCGGCACTTCAGTGAACCCCTGAAAATACATCCATGCTAATTTTCATGGGAGATTTCATTCACGGTGTTTTCACCAAGAAATGCAGAAAAGTCAATTACACACACTATTTCACCCTATCAATAACGTATCTCACCAGAGGCAACTACACTACAAGCGCACTGAATGGATACTGAACAAACGCTCACCAAACTTGTCTTGTAAATACAAAATCACACTGTGATTATGGAGATCAATCGATCTATCCATCTATCTATCTATCTACACTCATTCTCTACAAATCATAAAGCTAATTAACAAAAGTGCTTTCTCCACTATTCCGAATATTCCTACCCGGCAGGCTTTACAAAAATCCTGAGAAATTCTTGCAATACACTATTCAGCTTCACTTTATTCCGAAGCCTGAAGAACCTGTCGTGTCCTGAGTACAAATGAAAAAGACCTACCCACTAAAAAGTTAGAAGACCTGAGGAAAATGAAAATCGGTGACAAAAACAGAATATTCTAAAACAGAAATCATCATGAATCACGTGCTCACAGGAAAAGACTCCTGTTCACTGTGCTGTTCAGAAGGGCTCCCTCCTTAGAGGCTGTAAACACTACCTTCCACTGACAATTCCCACGGTTCTTCTAAGAAAATACAAATAAGTAAATTTAAAAACTCAAAGGAAAAAGCTAGTAAAAGGATATCATCACATTTCTTCTGATATTCTGTTAATAAATTACTGCAACAAAGAAAAGAATTATGTTACTTTTTTGATCTAGAAAATACTGTTGAAGTCATGTTTCAAAATATGCCAGGCACCTTTCTTCCTAGGCCTCCTGCAACAAAACATGTTTAATTAATTAAATATGTATACACACACACACACATACACCACCTTCAATTCTTTTAAAGCGCTGCAATGATATATGAACTTTAAAAAAAATAATAAATCTCCTACCGTGGCTATGAAATACTATGAGGAAATCTGAGCTCCAGTCCTAAAGCTAAGAAGGCTTTAAAGATAGAAAACAGCTTTAAAAAAACTGCCACCCTAGGAAAAATCACTTCCTGACCCATAGGCCTGCCGTAAAGGGCTTTGGACCAACAACACAGGCTTCAGCCTGCGGACAAAGCTCAGCAGGGTTCCACCATGACCCACAGCCCCGTGGCCCAGGTGAGAGACTGAAGGTCTGATACACCAGCCGCTCTGGCTTATCTGTCAGGTTCACAAAGTTCAACAAAGCACAGGAAAACATACTCACTCTGTATTAATAATTTTCTGCTTCAAGGTAATTAGTGCTTCAACATACTCGTTTAAATTCTGAAAGAAAAAAAAAGCTACAGTCAGCTACTTATTTCTGTAATATGAATGATTGTAAGTATACTTTCCATACCATGTGACTTACTGTAAAACGTGAACACATTTACTCTCACATAAACATACAAATACATACAGGTATTATTTACATTACAGAAGAACACAGACCAACTCTGTTTGAGCTTGAACCCATGCTGTACCTCTCTGAATCCTGCTTTAGGTGAACGGCGCTCTCTCTGACAGAAGGGGTGTGCAGACTCTCTCTCTGACTGTGTGCTCTTTGTGGGAATCTGGTATGTATTTACTATTTTTAGTTCACCAATTACCATTAATTATCAGTCTACAACTCACTCTGCATTGTCTCTGAAAGGATTTAAGACACCAAAAAGTCACATAAATCATCAAAAAAACAAAAATAACATGGGAAAAACAAATAAGAAAATTAAAATAGGGAGGAAATTCAATGAAAAATTCATTTTAAAAGGATCTATATATTTTAGAGACCAACCACAAATCTGGCTCTAAGTTACTGCTATCAATTCAATAGAGAAAACACCATTAGTAACACCGCTTAAAATGTTACTAAGATTTAAAAACCTATTTTTTTCTTTTCAGGCACTTTTCCCCTTAATATCTTCGTATTTCTTTAGTAAATACTTCAGAAGAACTTATTTTTCACTGATTATCCTAAAGCATCTTTTTCTAGATAATCCAAATGATTTTGAAAATTACAGAAATATTTCCCTTTATAGTAGTCTGGGCATCTCCTTTGCAGTCAGACATGTAACGTAGTAGTTAAAGTAAAAAAGGTCCACACAGAAATACGTAAATAAGAAGTCTTAGTTTGGGGTGCGTAGGTGGCTCAGTCAGTTGGGCAACCAACTCCTGGTTTCAGCTCGGGTCCTGAGCAGGGGCTTTATGCTCACTGATACTCAGCTCGGAGTCTCGGGGTCCCTTTCTTTTTTCTCCATTCCCCGCCCCCTGCCCCAGGGCAAGCATGCATACACACACACACACACACACACACACAGGCTCTCTTATAGACAAATAAAATCTTAAAAACAAACAAGGGAGCCTGCTTCCCTCTCTCTCTCTCTCTGCCTGCCTCTCTGTCTACTTGTGATCTCTCTCTGTCAAATAATAAATAAAATTTAAAAAAAAAAAAAAGCACAAAAATGGAAAGCAAAATGACATATAAAACTGCACTACACACATAAGCGAGGATAACTTCAAGAGGAAATTCATATACGGTCATTTAAAAACAAACCAAGGTTGGGAAGCCAGGGTGGCTCAATTAAGTGTCCAACCCTTGATTTAGGCTCAGGTCATGATCTCAGTTTCATGAGCTCAAGCCCTGAATTACGCTCTCTGCTCAGCATGGAATCTGCTTGGGATTCTCTCTCCCCCTCTCACCTGTGCCCCTCCTACACTCTCTCTCTCTTAAAAAAAAAAAACAAAACAAACAAACAAAAAAAACAGAGAGAGATTCTCTCCCTCTGCCACTCCTCCCACACACACGTGCACATTTTCTCTAAATAAATAAAAAATAAAAAACAAGGATCAACCTCTCACTGAATTCAACATCGCTTCTTAGAGTTTACCACTGTCAATTCAACCTCCAGAGGTTCTCACTAGACCACAGCTGTAACATAAAAGAACACCAATCTAGATGGTATATTAGCACTCAGTTACCAAAGAAAATCATAAAAAGAGGAAAAGAACACATAAGAACAAAATATTTAAATAAAAATTCCATCAATCAAAAAGAAAAACACAATATTTAGATTTTAAAAAGTCAAAACAGGAAGGAGTTGCAATGCCATTTCTCAGCTCTCCAAGTGCCCACCAAGGAAACCAGTGCTATGCAGCTCCCCTACATACACATTCTACATGATCATCAGTCATAAATTAGTGAACGAAATAAAATTTTTGGTAAATTACCAAAACACCTACAGCTCCAATCCTTCCCGAAGTGCCTCATGCGCATTTCCTGAACTAAATGCATAAGCTTAGGCTAAAATGGTATTTTAAAGGATTCAATAGGAAGAGTCCTGTCCCTGAAATGCCTATGAACTAATTCAACACGAAACACAAAACTGAGTAAGGACATTCATATGAGATCTGCAAGTAAGGTCTGACAATTGAGAAATAAAAACAAACCTTACCTTTTCCCAGTTGAGAAAGGCTCTCAAACAGTTCCGGACCTCTCCTTTAGCACGTTGCCTGGCAACCAACTGCATCGCCTTATTAATCACCGATTGGGAAATAAATATGTCATGCCACATATTTGCAATGAACAAAGTCAGTTTCTCTGACTCTGGAAAATCTATGAGAAAGAAAACAAAACAAAACAAAAAAACCTTTATGTCTAATCAATTGAATAAATTACAAGCTAAGAACCAATTTCAGTAATTTCACTTATGCCTTGCAGGGTCTCTTACCGCTGAAGGCGGGTGCCCAAGGAGGCCCTGCTTTGTGCAAATGTGCTTCTTTCTCCCCCAACCGTTTCCCTTTGGCAAACCTTAACTAGATTTGAAACATACACAGCACTGTCTTACGAGAGGAGCCATCAGATCCAAACACGAAGCAACGGCAAGCCTCTCTCTTCAGACTTCTGCAACCCTAGAACCTCCCCATTTGAAAAGTGTCATTTCAGGCTATTTCTTATGCACTGGAAGACAGAACTCACCTGTGCAACACATAAAAGGCTTCTGATATGAAGAGATGTTTTTATACATCATGGATGATAATCTTCTACTGTGAACGCTTTCCCACAGTTGGCTTGTTTGTTTAATCAACCTAACCCACATGCCGCTCACATACAATGAAATACTCTCAAGCACAGTCTGATGAATTCTGATGAATGATCATGTACGTAGAACCCCCACCACAACCAACACATAGTCCATCCTCCCCTACCCCATGGTCTGAACCCTTCCGGTGCCTCCCTTCGCCCCAGACACAGACAACCCCGACCCGCTCACCGACACTGCAAGTTAGCTGTCTTTCCTCCACTGTCCGCCAGTGCATTCGGACAGCACGACTCTTTTCTGCCCGGCTGCCTGACTCAGCAGAATGCTTCCGCGACCCCACTTGCTGCCACCGCCTCAGCGGCCCCTCACTTTGTGTGGCCAAGTTGTACTGAGCTGCTTGAGACCACACACCCGTCCTTCCTTCAGCTAACGGACGTCTGTCTCCGGCCCCGGGCGCCTGCCCGCGAAGATGCTGCGGGTATGTGAGCACCAGTCTAGGGGAGCTATGTCTCCACTTCTGCTAGATAAGGACCTGTGAGTGGGATTTCTGGGTCATACGACAAATGAAGATTTTGATCTAACAAGAAACTGTCCGTGTTTTGCAAGTTGGTTGAACCAGTCGACACAGATTTTTACCGTTTGGGAGAAAGCCACATCTTGTGTTTCCAGAGCTAGTAAGTCAAAGCAGACGCTGCTCATAGTCTATTCTGACCTGCTGCTTCGGAGACGGAAAATCCTCCCACCCCAGGACCCTCTCCACATGCTGCGCCATCTGCCCGGCATCTTCTCCCTCGCTTTTTTTTTTTTTTTTAAAGATTTTATTTATTTAACAGAGAAACACAGCCAGAGAGGGAACACAAGCAGCAGGAGACAGAGAGGGAGAAGCAGGCTTCCCGCCGAGCAGGGAGCCTGATGCGGGGCTTGATCCCAGGACCCTGGGGTCATGACCTGAGTCGAAGGCAGACGTTTAACCGAATGAGCCCCTCAGGCGCCCCCTCCCTCCCATTTCTTATAGGCACTCGCTGGTGTCTTCACACCTCAAGTTCAGAAGCCGCTCCGACAAGAGCTTCTGTGACCCCTCAGTCTCACAAATCCCCCTCCACAGCACAGCCCCTCAAGCAACAGATCCTCGATGGCTGCGTACAATGCATCCTTAAGGGGTAGGGGTAAGTAGGGACAAGACAGAATCCCTGCCCTGACAGAGCACACAATCCGGTAAGCGGAGACAGCAAACAAAAGGGTTCGGGATACAAGGCAAGGGGGGTAAGCACCATGAAGAAGAAGCCAGGAGCCTGCAGGAGGAAGGCCATGGGAGTCCCGACAACATGGGGGGATAGCTTCTGAGGGAGAGACCTGCTCCCCACGAGCCTGACGAGAAAGGGGGCTGGCGGTGTTTGACAAGAACAGAACCTCACGGGGGCCTAGCAGAGTCCATGCTGCTCGCCTCGCTAGTACCCGCCACTGCGGGAGCCCCCCGTGCGCTGGGGCCACATGACCTGCAAACGCGGGCCTCACCATTGGGGCGTGTCTGTGTCTGGTTCCAGTCACCATCCAGGCCCTAACACCTAGCGAGCACGCCATGAACTACGGCTGAGTCCACCAGTGACTGAAAGAGGAAACAAAGAAAGGAAGAGGGCCCCAGACGGCAGCCTCGCTCACAGGTGTACACATGCCGGGCACATTCCACTCCCCACTTCACTAGCCCTGTGAGCTCCCTAAGAAGGATGAAAAACCTTGTCGAGGTAAGACTTTCTGATAGGAAATTGAGCTGCATTTGTTTATCATTTCTCTGTTTACAAATGTTCCCACTGAGGATGTCGTATTACAAAGGCTGACTCCTGGTCCACCCCGTTAATGGGGATGGAAGCAGAGGAAAGGAAAAGGGGCTCCAGGAGAGCCCTCCTGCCCCCGCCCTCTGGTCCTCTTCTTGCTTCAGGCTCGCTACACCATTGGAGAGTTCTGCCTTCTCCAGCTTCGGATGCAGCACTGGGGTCTGTCCCTGACTTTACAATCATTCCCTTACCTCGTGTTGCCAGCATCTGACTTCAGTAACTACACCAGGAGGAGACAAACACGCAGCGATGAGACCCTGAATTATGTACCAGTGGACGTGTGTGTGTTGACAGAGGCACGTGTATGTCACGTCAATTCTCCCACTGAAAACCAGGCAGGGCATGGGACAGCTAAGGCTCTTCATGGCCTCCGATAAATGCCCAAACATTAATGTTATTTTGAAAGATACACCGCAAACACTCAGCTGCAAACACAGATCCAAGCGTAACAATGAGGTAAACAGGCAGAAGTGGGCCTCCAACACAGAAATGTCACTACCTAAACGTACCTTCCTTAAGTAGGCTGTAGCAAAACAAACGAGCTCTTTCCAAGTCCCCAAGTTGCCGACAGATGCCCACATACACTCTGCAGAGGGCGTGAATGTAATTGCGCTCCATGGAGATCTTCTGCAGTTTCAGTTCTGAGAGAATAGAGTGCAGCAAGCACTCTGCCAAATGCTAGGTTTGAGAAAAAGAAAAAAGAAAAGGTAACGTACACTTGAGTTGCTTCTGTCTGCTAAATAGCTCAAGTTACAAAACCAAAGTAGGGCCATGAATCTCGCACTCTACCAGCCAGCAGAAAACAGCGGTCACTGTGGCAAACCACCTGCTTTTACTCAGCCCAGTGACCCACCCCCCCGTCCCCTGCCGGGTGTGGGGGGCAAGAGGTCCAAACCTGCAGGCTGCCTGCAGGTGCCAGGGGCCCTGCCCGAGCACATCCGTGTGCCTGCCGCCACGCCAAACAAGTAAACTTCCTTGGTTTGGGCTAAAATAATTTTGTGTGTGTGCATTACACTCACTCTACATTCTTCTCCCATTCCTGTTTTCTGAATTCTGATGTGCCCTACACATTTATCCTGTTTAGGTCTTAAAAATACTGGGCAACAATTTTCCTACTTAAGAAGAAGGGCATTAAATAATTTGATCTATTTGTTCACTTGAAAATAAATTATCTTTTCAAAGTGACATGTATTACTTCCTATACTTTCTGGAAGTAAGCAATCTACAAAAACCACATCCGTATTGTTACCACTATGACTCTCAGGATGTGCAGCTAACCAGCACAGCGCGAGCCACGAGACACTGGAAAGAATCCACACAAGGTGTCGACATGGGAACTTGGAAAATACAACCCTAGAGAAGTCCTAATACCCCAGCTGTGTGAATCCGCACAGTGTTCCCACCTTAACTGTTCCTATCTTGAAACCAAGATCAGTTCCTGTTTCATCGGTGACAGATATTAAAGGAGGCACAGGGGAACCCCTAGCTCTCTTTCTAGAAGGTGCTCAGACTCAAATGTGTGTGTACTGTCCACAGAAAAGGCTCCATTACAGGAGAATAATTTGATGCTTTGGAGCAAACCATTTTGAGCTTTTAATCATGTTGGAATTGATGGGAAATATGCAACTGTCGTCCTGACAATCACTTTCATTTCTTTAAAACTTTAAGGTATTTGATGAATACAAATGATCAGATCGCCAGTGTCTTTTCACAACTCAAGTACACAAAATGCTGACTAGAAACAAACTGTAGGTCACAATGTTTATACGGGTATCTGTCTGTCTCGGAAATCAAGTTTCTGCTCAGGGTCATCTACCACTTCGCTGAGAGCAGACAGCCTGTCTCTGAGGACATGCAATTCCTAGTGCTCCTACAGAAGAGCAACCACGTACCTTTTTGGTTGTGCTAAACTCATGAACAACTTCCTTCTCTTGATCTCTCATGACAGGCTTTTTGGAGATATTTCCCACATACACATGACTTCGAATGACAGGTAAGAGATCAAAAGACGACTCTGCGATCTTCTTCAGTGCATCAGCTATGGCTTTGTCATGGGACTCTACAGTTTCTTTTGGGTTTGGAGGCAACTGTGAAACCGCACTGACGGTCAGAGAAGAACTTTCTTCCTCTGCCGCCACAGCTTCAGTTTGAGGGAGGCTCCTCCGGAGGGCCTTGCTGACTCCTTCTGTAGTGGCGCCCCCAGTTTCTGGTTCTGGGGACCCACTGTCCAGCCGCAGTCTTTTGGCGCTCCTCAGCGTAGATGCAGACAATGTCCTTTTCCCTCCTGCATCCTGGCGAGTCCCCCCATCTCTGGATTTGTCCTGACTACAGTCACTCCCTGAGCTGCCCCCTGTCTTAACAAAGGCGGTGGATGTTGAGGTGATTGCCTTGAAGCCTGTGATAGCACTGACAGGCCCCGCTAAGCTCTTACGGTCTGCAGGAGGACCTCGAGTGAGCTGAATGTTCCCTTTGAGAATGTTGAGGGTACGGGCCCTGGCAGACAGCTCTGGGTACATGGTGTCGAGGATTTTAACGGAATTCTCCTGGGGTCCAGCCACAGCCGTGTGGGCAGATGCCAGAGGCGGGAGGCGGCCAGGCACAGGGAGGGCATGCTTTGGGGTGGCAGCACAAAATTGCAAGGGTGATGACACTATCCTCTCGCCGGCCGGTGCAGCAGATGGGGACGGAGATGTGCATGGGGGAGAGAGGCATCCCGGCTCTTCCGGCAAAGGAGACATCACAGGAGGCACAGGGGGTTCACACAAGGGAGAAATCTGGCCAAGAGGAGAGGTAGGTGAGGAGGGAGAGGACGTTGCTAGCAGCGGAGAAACTGGCTGCGAAGTCCTTGGAGGTGTAGCAACCAGAGGAGCAAGCAAGGGCGGCAGAGGGGGCCCCACCTCCTGCCGGATTTTACTCAGGGTATCAGAACAATCTGTAGGAGTTGATGTGTCAGCATTGGCTAGAATGGTCTGAGTTTGATTTCTCTGAGTTTTTGTGCTCTCTCTTTCCCCTGAAAATGACTGAGAACCTTCATTCTGATTAGTTTCAACTCGGCTTGATGCCAAAGCCTTTGCCGACCTGTTTGATTGATCTTTGTTTGAAATCTTTGATCGATTCTTATTTTTGCTGAATGGCTCTAGTTTCGAGTTAAAGTACGTGTGATCAGATGCAATGGTCTGAGACTCAAAGTTCTGATCATAGATCTCAGAACTAATCCTTACGCTAGGTTTGACAGGCCTGTTACGCAAACGACTTTTATCAAAGTTGGTGCTCTGGCTACTGCTGGAAATTTCCTCTTGGGCACATGATAGGGTGCTGCCGCACTGGGGCTCCTGAAATGGAGGGCCAGGGTGACCGGTCTCTGGGGACTTCTCCATGGAAGTAAGGGAAATGAAGCCAGCTCCCAGGCCTCCTCCATCTGGGGAAACAGGGATGTCTTCGGGAGTGTCACACAGTATGACCTGGTCCACATTTGGCATGAGAGCTACCCCATTTATGATGGTCCAGTGGTCCCCCTTTTCAATGACGAGATTTTGATCCTTATTGATGAGCACGTTTATGACTTCGGAGGTCACTGTTGATATCTGGCACTGAAACGTCGTTTCTGCCCCCTCCTCAGCACTGCCTTCTGTGGTCTGCCCCGCCACGGAGTCAGAGCGCTGGGGGGAGGACTCTGCCCCACCGCGGATCGGGCTGGTGACACTGGGAACACCCTCAGGACTGCCAGGAGTGACTGCGTTACTCGATGAGCCGCTAGCAGGAGAACAGCCCTTGCCAGTCATGCTGGCTACTGGAGGGGATGTACCTGAAGGGTGTGGGGGGAAGCCACTCGCCCCCTGAGGTGGGACATGCTCTCTGACAGGCTCACTGGTCACGTCATCGTGCGTATTTGAGAGCACTAAGTCAGCAGCGTCTTTTCCAGGAGAGCTCTCACAGCTGGCCTGAAGCTCCCGTCCAAACCTGGTGAGCACCTCAGACAGCGTTTCCAAGGAGCGCTGTGTGAGCTGACCTGTGCTCTTCAGAGGACCGTCCTCTTCCTCGGATTCAATCCACTCTTCGGAGGTTTCAAGGGTTTCTTCTTCACAGAGCTGCTTTCTGTACTTTCCTCCTGAGAGGTCACCTGGCTTTAAGTCTTTGTTCATTTCTTTATGCAGGGTTCCTCTGCTAGAACATTCTGAAACAGAGTCCCCCGAACTGTAATCTCTTAACTGACAACTTTCAAGAAACATCACGACCTCGGATGTAGAGAGCCCGTCGATCTCAGAAAGGGTGCTGATGTTGAAGTCCTGCAGCGCGGAGGTCAGACAGCCCACCTCGACGGGAGGCCGAGTCTCGGCTGAGCCAGCGCCTGGGGCTCCTAAACCTCTTCTGGAGGCGTGAGCAGCCCCCCGCGGTCTGTCCCCCAGCGCGGCTTCGGGCTCGCTCTCCCCTTCGCTACCGCTAGGCGCCTCACTCTCCTCCACCTCTGTGTCGCCACCTCCTCCCTCCCGAATGCCCGTGTAACAACACACAGGCCCAGCGAGAGCACTCGCGGGGACAGCACGCGTCTCCTCATCTTTTCTGAGAATCGCCGATGGGAGAGCCGTCCCTGTGGTACCTGGACCTTCAGGAGAGGCCCTGCCAGGAGTCTGAGACGGCAGCTCTGGGGACTCCTGCAGGCTCGGGCGGACACGGGGAGAGCCCTCCAGGATGGCCAGAGCCTTGCTACCAGATCTGCCCGTGCCCCCATAGGGCACTCTGTCAACAGCGCAACTTCTGGACACTGGCACTTCTGGAGCGGGACGGAGTTGGTCCCCAATCAGCCCAGAGGAGTCCAGACTTGCGGCATGAAGGAGCAGAGTTTGCTTCGGCACTGCCTCCTGTGCTGAGGCTTCGGTTGTGATGTCTTGATTTGGGACAGGGATGTTTTTGGGAGAGAAAGACGGTTTGCTATTTGTGGAACTTGGAAAACTGAAATTTAATTTTCTCCATGAGGCAGAAACTTGTGGCGAGGTCCCTTCATTAGCAGCCGCTCCCTGGGCAGCCCACGCCGTGTCCTCTCTTTCTCCGTCACGTCTGGCTACAGAGGACGTGGGAACAGCCCCAGGACCGGCGTGTGCTGCCCCGAAGGGAGGCTCAGTCTTCCGCTGCCTCCAGGGTTCCAGTCTAGTGCTCTGCACTGTGTCGGGCCGGGCCTGCTTGGTGATCACGGACACTTGGTTAGGCAACAGTGACGTAGCAGCCCTGAGCCCCACGGGGTTATTTTCTGAGGCAAGCTCAGGCTTCGATGTGGACCGTCTACTTTCTAAGGATGCTGCTGCCTGTTGTACCTGATGGTTAGTCTTCTGTTCGGGTTCTGACTTAGCCCTTAGCCTTTCTTCTCCACCTCTCCTTAACACATCACTATGGTGCCATGAAGGGCTTTTAAAACCAAACCCACCCTTGGTCAAGCCACGCTGAGACTCTAGCAATGGTGTAGAATCCGCCCTAGTCAGGGGGAGCTCAGCTCTGGGACCCTGGCTTCTGCACTGTGCGTCTTTCATAGCTTTTATAAATACTGACTGTGCAATTGAACAGACTTTGGGAATGCCTTTCAAAACATCTGTGGACTTGACCTCATTGCTGCTTTCATTATTAAAATGTGATGCTCCCAACTCAGGGCTCAAAGCACACAAGCTATTCTCCAGATGGTTCTCTCCGGGAGGACACTCTGGGGGCTCAGGCTGCAGATCTAGCACGTTCAAGGTTTCAGCTTGTAACTGCTGTTCTGAATGGTGCAGTTCCACAGCAGTAACTTTAGCAGGAATGTGTTGGTCATGAGCATACTTCAATCCAGAGGAAGATGGGGAGTCACTGCAGACAGACGATGCTCCCGAGGTAGAAGAGGAAGAAAGGCTGGCATCACCACGGAGCCCTGGGGCACCCGCTGCATCACCTACATCGTCCTCTGGCTCAGGCGATGCTCCTAAAATGAAGTCTTGAGCATCTCGCTTCTTTCCCGATACTCCACACATTCCCTGGAGGTGGTCAGAGATTGACAGATGATCTGATTCAAGAGGGATTTCATTACTTAGTGTCCACTTAGTAAACTGTGATTTGGGTGATCCTATCATTTTGGATAGTAGGGTTTTTCCTTCAGATTCCATGAGTTCACTGAATGGCCTCTTGCCGAGGGTAGAGGAACACGTGTCAGACTTCCGGAGGGCTGCTCCCCTGCCCTGTGCCCGGCTGCCAGATGACGTCTCAACACACACGTTTCTGATGGGTTCATGAAGTGTGTTCTCAGTCTGCACCGACTTATCCACCTCCCTAACCTCTCTCTGTCTTTGTGCCTCATCTGAAATGGCTCTTCTCCCGTCACTCGCGGACTCAGATGACACCATCCAGTGTTTCTCGTGAGCTACGGAGTATGCAGCTGAAGGCTCTCTCAGCGTTGCTGTGAACGTCCCAAACCCGACAGTTGTCACTTCATTTACTTCCAGCGTAGCCAGAGCCTGGGAGGCTTCATGTGATTTGAGCTTCTCCTCCCAGGTACCACCACTTCCTTTACTTTTTCTGGATGAACCAAAATACTGTGATTCAGATGTCTCATCTTCTGAAACAGACTCAGCAGAATTTCTATGTTGGGACAATTCATTATCACTGGAATCTGTATACTCTCCGAAGTAGGTTTCCTTAAAAACGAATGAGTTATTCTTATTAGTTAAATGTTAACTAAAATGACTAAACATACCTAACAATTAAATGCCTTAAAAAGCGATTCTTATGAAATACTAATTGGACCGACTACATATAACTATCAATTAAATGCATTCCTGAAGAATCCTTTCAGACACAGCCAAAGAAAGGGTAGCTCCCTGTCCGGAAGCTGCCAGCAGGGAGACGAGCTGCGGTCTGAGCAGCCAGCTGCCACCATTCCCGGACCCGTCTCCCCGAGCTCCCCACACTCCCACCGCACGCTCCTCCCACAACAGACACAGCCAGGATTCGTCTATCCTCCAAAGGGCCAAACATTCCTACTCTCCGGCTCTTCCTCCCCGTTTCCGGGCACAGAACATGTCCAACTCTGGCTGCACAGCCTTCCATCCCCCTGCTTCCAGGTCACTCCTCTGCAGGCGTCCAGCTCCAGCAGAGCGGAACTGGCGGCCACTCCGGGGAGCGACCTCCAAGTACCTCCTGCAGACATGTCCTCGTGCCTGGGCTGCATCTGCGATGCTGTTGCCAGGTGAACGAGCTCTACCTCTTTCAACAGTATGCACACTGACACCGCCCCTTCCCACACAGCCCTCTCCCCATCTCTGCTCCAGAAACCCCCTACACCCCAGCGCAGCCCCCGCTGTTTTGGCTGAACTGCCCCGTCACGCGGCGCAGCAGGAGAGCCGGTTCCTCCACCGCCTGGCCTCCTTCTGAGCACCACGCCCGTGGTTCTAAACTCCTATTGCACGTGCCCCCCGCCAGGCCCATGCGCGCCTGCATCCCCAGCTAACACTGACACGGCACCCACAGCCCCCGGAGCAGGGCCGCCGGTTTCTTTCCTTCGCTATTTGCAGCCTCCCCGCCTCCTCCACCTCTGCAACCGCCACACTAAAAACCTCACCAAATGCTGCTCATCGGCCTCCTAACGTTTCTCTAACCAGCCCCACCTCCTGGACCCCAGTGCCGCTGCGGGGATGAGATGTCGAGAACACTGGAAGCTGCTGATTCAGTCAGGGATACCCCCCATGCTCTTACCTCTGTCCAGATTATCCCCACTCCCTATTCGATCACACAGAGGCTAAACGGAAACTTGCAACTGAACGTCTATCATTAAATCCACTTCCCAGATCCACCAAGGACTTCCTACTGCCCTCACAATAAAATGGAAAGTCCTAAGGACACAGATGGCCTCTGCTGACCTGGTACGCATGAATGTCCTCTGGCACAAGCTCACCTTCAGTCCCATGGCACTGTGTAAAGAGGTCCTCCACCTGAAGCAACCCACCCTCTTGAACACTCAGCTGGGTCCCGTCTTCCCGGAGCATCCCTACCCTCCTTGGCCTCCCTCAGGAGCCAGCCTCTGGCCTGGGTCCTCTCCAGCTGGTGTGCCCCCAGCCCGGCAGTCTCTACCACAGCTGTGCGATCACCTGCTCCCTCCCCCGCCCAACTGCCACACAAGATCCAGCCAAGTGGTAACCACGGACTAAGTCACATCCGTGTTCCCAGGCCAAGCGCGGCCCTGGAACAGAAGAGATGTACACTGCTTCCTGAAGAAAGGGAGTGACTCAAAGCAATGCATTTATCTGCTCCTTAAGCCAAAAAGCATACAAATCCGCTTCATCAAGGCTTAACTCTCTAAGAATTTACAATAAACCCCTCTGCAAACACATGAAGAGGTGATGAAGTCATCAAACAGAAGCGGGGAATCTGGCAAACACAGGTTAATGGGCATGTGTGCTACGTACATGGTTTCCCCATCTCCAACAAGCTCCAAGCCTGCAACCATGCCTTAATGCATTCACTGCGTTAGGTTCCAGGCAGCAGAGAGAAGAACGACTCGAACACGGTCCTCCCACAGGGGAATGTGAATTAGGTTGCGGATAAAGACACACAGAATGCAACCTTAAGTGAACATGTCATGGGCTCCACGTTCTTGTAAAGAGCATGGGCATGCCCTCGTCAATGCTCACATCTGCCCCAAGAAAGTCTGGTTTGAGTATCACTGAGCAGCACTCCCTGAATACAGCCAACGTTGTCAGCATGAGCAACGTGCCCGCATGAGAACTCAAATGCCAAGTGCAAACTCACAGGCGCCAGTGAAGAAGGTAATGTGCTCAGGGGTGGTAGGGACACCAAAGGGGGTGACGGCACCGGAGACAACAGAGGAGGGGGAAGTCTGAAGAAGTCAACTGCAGCCTGGAGGTCTTCATCGAAACAGTGATCACGATCAGAGAAGTCAGTACTGTCCTCGTCAGTCCTTGGCACCTCAAGTTCAGGATGCCGGCCCTCGTTAGCTACGTGGTCACTGCAGTGCGCGGCTCCACTGTACTCGTGTCTCCCCACACGTCTACATGCAGAGAAGTCGCCCTCTATTTCCATGGACAGTTCTGCCAGGCACGTCTGCACAGCTGCGGCTTGGAGTGGCCTGCCACCTGCTGGAGGGGGCACACCATCGTCCCTGGGCTCTGTGGGCCCCGGGTTTTCTTTGGCAGGTTTCTCTGTGGGAGAAAAAAAGTTAAGTATCAAACATACGTAACATTAAGAAAACTTAAAAAATTACCCTAAGTATTCAAAATGCCTGCTTTATTGAAGAAACCCAAAACACAAGAACATTTTTTAAAAGACACCCATTCCCTTTCTACTGAATAATCACTCTGTAAGACCCACACACACTTCATGGAGGTGCGCTTCCCTCACAGTAAGCAGGACAAGGAGAAGGGCAGGTGGGCGAGGCGAGGCCCCGTGGCCCACGGGCCTCAGGCTGCACGGGTGGAAAGGCATCGCGGTGGCGGGAACGGGCAGGCCTTGTTGGCACACTCCCCATTTCAGTAACTATCTTTCCACACAACCAGCAGCATTCGGAGACACATCTTCGTGCAGAGAGACTGACAGGGAACACAATTTCCTCTGTCTGCAAAACAATAAAAAACCAGCCAACGATCAAGCCTACCCGATAACCACATCTGTACACTGCTGCAGTGAAGAAACTCAACCAGGTCACATACAGACGTCGCATTACGGTGCAATGGGAAATTTACTGTAAAAAGCCAGTGGTTTGGGGGTCTTGGTTTTGATGAGCTGCCGTGGTGCTAATTATCAGTGAAAATATTTGTGTCCTGGGAAGTAACCACAAATAACCATTCGTCATACTTGAAAGCTGGACATAAGGACTCAAGGCTCCCTGGAGAAGTGACTGACGATAGAGCTGGTGAGTGGAAAATACAAACAGGGCCTGAAACATCTTGCACAGCCAGAAAGAAGTTCTCAAAACAGGCTGGGGTATGCCTCAAGGGCCCAGGAGCCAACCCGAAAACAGTCCCAACAACCAAAGCTGGAGCAATATGAACGATGAAATAAACAAAAGTTCCGAAGTACAGAGCAGAGAATAAAGAGTTCCAATTAATGAATGTAGAAGGACAGAGAATTAAAATCACGAGCAGACCACGCAGCAATCGTAGCATGCAGGCTTTATCGGTTGATGCTAGGATCAGCGGGCCAGAGCGGGGAGAAAGTGACTAACTACAGAGCATCCACGTGTCTCTCTCAAGATAATTCACAGTAATGTAACACTGGGGAAGCCTGGCAGACACCACCTTAAACAAGCACTTCCACTGTCACCCCATGTCATCCATCCCGCCATTCCCTCCCCGGTACAATGTCCGGAGCAGAGCACAAGGGTACCACTGCAGAGTTCCTGCTGGAGAGAATCAAACTTCACTTAATATGAGAAAAGAGCACACAAGACAAAACTGATAGGTTTCCTATGAAATGATGCTTCCTCTCTGAAAGTAGGGAAGACAGGAGACAAAGAGACGCGGATGAACCGCCGGACCTGGGGGCTGAAAGGCAGAAGGCTGCTAGGTGCAAGGTGGGCTCCGGGGACCAACACGCGCCCAGAGACATCCATGTGAGCTTTCACTTAGCTAACCGTCTCGCACCAAGGGTTAAATTTAGGGGAATCTGGACTCGGAGTCTAAGAGAATTCCCTGCATTATTTTTGTAAACCTTCTCATATAAAAACAAAAAATTACAGAAACAAAAAGAGTATGTTTTAAGACTGAAGATTCCAGGGCACAAAAAAAAAAGAAAAAAAGATTCCAGGGCGCCTGGGTGGCTCAGTGGGTTAAGCCTCTGCCGCCGGCTCAGGTCATGGTCTCAGGGTCCTGGGATCGAGCCCCGCATGGGGTTCTCTGCTCAGCAGGGAGCCTGCTTCCCCACCTCCCCTCTGTCTGCCTCTCTGCCTACTTGTGATCTCTGTCTGTCAAATAAATAAATAAAATCTTTAAAAAAAAAATGATTAAATAGGGAGCCCTTTTAATAACATCTTAAACAACATAAAACCAAGTGCTTAGAATAAAACACAGCGACGAGCTGGTAAAGCTGACCGAGAACAGGCCCGGGCTACTTCTGCCCGAGCAGATGAGGACTTGGACCCTGAGCCTCAGGGGCCGGCTCAGGAGACCCAGTTGCCGCCCGCTTGTATCAGCAGAGTCACCGCACGGCACGTGGCACCTGACTGAACAGCGCCCCATCCAACAGGCCTCTCTCCGTCTCACAAAATCTCACGGAGTCAAGCACGAATGAGCATCAGCAACTTGCCTGGTAACACTTTTCTGAGGGAACTCTGCCTTCTGGAGCCTGAGAGAGAAAACTAGGTACACGTCTCTACAGACGCAGATCCTCGGCAATCTGTGAACTCATAACAGCAAATCAGAAGAAACCGGTATAATAGGGGGGGAAAAAAGTTAAGTAAGGAGCATTTTAATCTTATGCATGACAGCTAACTTCTCCCCATCCACTCTGGGATGACTAATACCTATTTCCAAAGCTTAAATCCTAAGTAGGGTGTAACTGAGAACGTGGCAGAAGGCCTCCACAGCTTTGCCTGCAGATCCAGAGAGCCCACAGATGAAGCCAAACCTGAAAATGAGCGGACAGTGCTGAAGAGTACTAATCTGATATGACAGCATGAAAGGAAACCACTGCTTATCGGTCAACACCAGTATTCTAAAGGAGACAGCGAATGTACAGCAGACAGTTCAACCAAAGGAACTGGTTACAAAAGTAAACCCAATGAGGCTGCTACTGGACAGAGGATACCGTGAAATGATCCGGAAAGCACCACGCCTCCCCAGAACTCTGCATGTTCCTGCCACACGCACTCCACTATGAGTCCTTCCAGCTTCCTCGCACGTCCTCTGACGAAAGCCACCATTGGAACAGTACAGGCCAAATGCACTTACTGAGACGAGAAGCCACGCTGAAGGGGAAGGGGCTCTGTAACTGAAAGTACCCGTTCCAATTTATCTCATTCTTTCAATGTCAGATTCAGGAGGCAGCAAAGGCTGAAGGCATATAATGCCCACAGTAAACATTTCTACTTCCATGCATGAAATGTACTTCTGGAAGCTTCTCTCTCACCTGTGATGCATCGGCTGCCTTCACCAGGTAGTCTGTGTGTTGTGTTTATGCAGAGCCAGAGCTCCTTCAGAAGTAGCTTTACTTTTCCTGCACAAAAGAGTAGAGTATTAACGACATGTCATTTGGCTCAATCTACAAAAGGCCGACACACACACTCCTGGGAAATCAGGATCTCTTAGGGGCTGGGGAAACAGCTAGGGACCAAGGCTTCTTCCCCAAATCCAACCACTGTGCATAAATCGCTAAGCTGCTGGTGGGAAGGCCTGCAACGCTCCCTCTGAACCATGAGGACAGGCTTGTTTTTTCCCCAGGGGTGAGGGGAATGGGAGGGCACAAGACTCATAAGACCAAATCTACTTGCTGGTAAAAGTCTTTACCACCTATTTGTATGAATGGACCATACACCTTCTACAGAAAGTGGGGAGAGATGAGGGACAGAAGCACAGATATAGTGTCTGATAAAAGAAACGCTGGCTCTACGTTTACTGCAAACAATAGCAGAAAACACCCCTCAGTGACATGAGGGTGTCAGAGAACTCGTCAGAACTGACCATGCTGGGTAGAGCGTCCAATTCATGATCTCAAGGCTGTGAGTTCAAGCCTCACGCTGATGTAGAGATTACTTTAAAAATCTTAAAAGACAAAAATCAAAAGACAAAAAAACTGGCCATGTTGTAACTAACCTGGGGGCTTTGTGGAGAATAGAATATTCATTAACAGTCTTAAGGGGTTAACAGGGTGGAAGACAGAAACGTGTATGTATAAACAGGTGGAAAGGAAGAGATTATCGCACAAACAGGCAGACTCACAGAGAAACATAAGCTTTTAAAAGGGAAGTGAAAGCCTTGGAATTTTTATACATTTTCAAAGGGATTAGGATTCCTAGAATAGTTAAGAACCACTGGTTCAGGTTGAAAGGTACACATTTCTCCAGATTTAGATCCTCTATGATCTGTGAATTCAGATCGTTTTAAATACAGCAAGCCTAATGAAATTCATATAACTAAGAAGTGACACTACGGTTTTACAGTGAGTTTAGCATTAATATGTATACACATTCCCAAAAAACTGCCAGACAAAAAATATTCATAAAAATTTAAGTATGACTAGCTTGTGGCCAGATATGCATAAAAAGACCAACCCCGCTAATAAAAATTCAACTAAAAAAAACTTTAAGTATTAGATAATTTCAGGCCTCCTCAAGTTCTATTATAATTTCCCTTAAGTTCTTAAATTGGCCTGAAGCATTTATTGAAAATACTGAAATCTTTAATCCAGTTCTAGAGAAGATGAAAAACCAACCTTTTAACCCAAAATATCTGCAAGAGCTCACATATTTGGAAATAGGTCAGCCCTATTTAAGCCGGCCAACTGTATCACTCCACAAAGAGCGCTGTCCCCAGAAGAGCGGGCCAGGGTAAGTGGTGAGGACACAGTAACAAGGCAAGCTTAAAAGTTTCCCATTTCCAACCTCTCTGAAGCTCAATCGACTTCTGACTGTCACTGTGTATGAGCCACACCCATTCTCTAGTTTGAAAATTCTGTGATCAAGTAACTTAACTGCATTGTGATTTAACCTACCCAAAAGCCTGCTTCCAAATACTGTAATGCCCTTTGCTTAAACGCCCTGACCAGGGTCCCTGCGTATTACGTATACCCAAAGCAGCAAACAAGGAACCTTAAAAAAAGAGAGAGAAAGTTACTTTTCTATTCCTATGGAAGCTATTAAGCAGAGCTATGCCTTTTCTGAGCACTTGTTCACTACCTCTAATCTCACAAGACAGAACTATCCATTCCCAGTAAAGCAGGAAAACACAAACACCACCCCTCCAAAAAAACCCCGCACTGTGGCTTCATTGCTTAGCTGTGAAGAGAAAAGCTCATTATGTTGAACCGCACACCTTCCACCAACCCTCTACAGTCCTGCCCGTATCAAAACCTAAGGCGTCCATGCGTGTCCCTGTACTTGTCTGCTCTGCTGGCCTGTCCGGCGTCACACGAACGCCGCGCTCCCACAGTGAGACCGTCACAACTGGGTTTTACAACCCGGGTGGGCATGAGCCTCACTAAGGTTTTTCCTTTTCAAAAACCTGATTATTCCAAACATCAATTATTCTACCCTGATAAGCCTAAATTTACCATCTGCTTGCCCTTTCCCATCTAAAACTCAGTGGGATTTGAGTAAGACTGGATCTTTAGAAATACGTCTGGGGAAACCTCCCATCTTTATGCCGTGAGCCTCTGATCCAGTAACAACGTTCACTCCCGTGTTCTGGGCTTTCACACTCTTCCGCAGCTTTACAGGCTTCTTCACAGGAGCCTTGCACACTGCTCTCAGATTTTTCTCTTCCTAGACGCGTTGATCCCACTGCCTTAACAGGTGGTTCTCATTCCGTCCTGATTCCGAGAGGCTGAGGACAGTGCACTCGATGTGCCCAAAGCCTGTACCACCACTCTGCCACGCTCCTGTACTTGTTTTCCAACTGAGTCTGCCGAGACAGTCTCATCATTTGAAACCATGACAATCCTGCGTCGTCCTGATCAGTACTTACAGCCCCCGCTCTTCCATGAGGGCTCTGCTGCACAGCTCGGCGGGGCCCCCAGTGCATAATAAAGAATGGAGGCAACCAGAAGCACCCGTGCCTACTTCTGACGGTAAAGACCAGGCTCTTCAGCTTCCACCTTTCTCAATCTCCAAACGTGTTTTTCTACCATTACCTCACCAAATATTTTTTTATGAAAAATGGGTGCCGTATTGAGATGATCGTCTCATTTTTCTCTTAACCAGTGGTAGTGGTCTTCCTAAGATAAACCCTTAAATCGTGATGAGTCTGTATATTCTACTACTCCGAGAATGGCGTTCTCAAAATTTCGTTTGGTATTTTTGCAGCTGTATTCCCAACTGACAGCACGTGTGTGTGAGTGTGTGTGTGTGTGTGTCACTCTTAGCTGGTTCTGGTATAGGGCTATTTGAGTCTAAGACAATGACATGGAAAGAAGTCTATATTTTTCTAAGTTCTCAGACACACAAAAGAACAAAAAAGACATTAGTTTGACTCACTGAAGCCTTTATAGAACTCACTTGTAAGTCATTTGGATCTTGTATGGTATTAGATCTTTAACTAATTTTTTTTAATTTCTTTTGCATTATTTTTCTGTTCAGGTTTCCAACAACCAACCCAAGTCAATCTGAGCATGTTTCCCTTGAAAATGGTTCATTTCACAAACAAGATTCAATTGGAATATAAATGTGTGAATTTGGGAATTCTCTCATTGTGGCTTTTTCGTAGCTTTCCCAGCCGTGAGGCCTTTGTGTTTCTGTTCCTTCCTTTCTTGATCAGACCTGCCAAAAAACTGTCGGTTTCAACAGCCCTGCAAAGTCCCAGCTGTTTGTTCTAATGGGCCCAAATCAACAACTTCTCCTTCTTTCCATTTTCCTCAGTTTTTGTTGCATTTTCCTACTTTCCCGTCATTCTTGCTTTCTAAAATAATCACGTAAGATCACTCATTCCAGTGAATACCACACTGACAATATCTCAGAGACTTTAATACTGCCCTACAGTTGTTTATTTCAGTTTTTATGTTCTCTGCTACCCAAAAGGAGTTGGTTTGTGTTAATGCATGCTCATTTACCAGACAGATGTGGAAAGTTGTGGGGTTTTGGGGGGTTCGGTGGGAGGGAGAGATTTTTATTAATATCTTATTAAATTTCAGTATCATAATAGTATCTCATATTAGGCTGGAGTTTCTGCTGTCTAGCAAACAGATTTCATATATGTCTGAAAGTATTTTAAAGAATCCTAGGTGTGCGGTTTAAGAGTTAGGTGTAGGGACGCCTGGGTGGCTCAGTTGGTTAAGCAGCTGCCTTCGGCTCAGGTCATGATCCCAGTGTCCTGGGATCGAGTCCCACATCGGGCTCCTTGCTCTGCAGGGAGACTGCTTCTCCCTCTGCCTCTGCCTGCCATTCTGTCTGCCTGTGCTCACTCTCTCTCCCTCTCTCTCTCTGATAAATAAATAAAATCTTTAAAAAAAAAAAAAAAGAGTTAGGTGTAAATCATCAATCCTGAAATTACAAATCCAATTCCCCTCTTTCTGTCTGCTTTTACAGATGACAGCATCTGAGAAACACACTAAAGCCTCTCGCAGAAACAGGAGACTACTCCCTCCAGCATTTCCAGACATTTTACCACAGAGTCCCACATTCTTAGTCTATGACACCAGCGTCTCCTTGATGAACTGCACCTAACCTGGATATTTCCTTTCAATCCATGTAAACTCATTTCTAGGCTTGAATTACTTTGTGCCTGGTTACTACTTTCAAGTCAGCATTTACTCCAAATTTCTCTATCTCCCTACATTCAATCTTTCCACTTCATTTGATTTTAAAAATACTTCCTATTAACATGCCAGAAATAAAGACCATACACAGAAGTCATGCTCAACACCTGACAGGCCTTTCTAATAGAAATACTGCATGTGTGTCCTGCTCTGAGATGTGTCCTTCAATCATTTCTTGCTGACCTCCTCTCCTCAGGGCTCTGGCCTCCCCTGGAGAGGTCCTGACAGGTGACCAGTGCGACGTGTATGATCTTGTTTTCCCACTGGCTCAATTTCACTGCAGCAACAGATTCTCTAAGGACACTAACTCTATTTTTAATATTTTCTTCCCTCCCGTTCGTGATTTAATACCATCTCCTCAGGGTTTTTTCCTTGGTACCTTTCTTCCCCGTGACTGCTGCTTCTCAGTTAGAGATGAAAGCTGAGGCCGGCCATCTCTGAGAGCCAGCGTGCACTTCTTCAGCCTACATTCCTCTGGTAATACATGAAGGTGCTCACTTCATGGACCTATGGGCCCTGTCTTCGGGGGGAAGGGATGCAGAGTGAAGCAGTTACGAGGATTTATACGGAGAACGTAAGTATCTCGTCTTCTGTGAACAGGAGTGGCTATCCTTCAAAGCTGGTGTAATTACCCAATTTTCTGATTTTCTTAAATCCACACCCACTCAGAGTGCCTCCTATGTCGCAAATGACACCTCACAGAACTAAACTTCAGGCCACAACGTGTGGATAAATGCTAGAGACTGTTTCTGAAACCAGAAGGCTATACATGTATTTTTCAACCTGAATCTATTATGTGACAAACCACTGATGTCCTGCTCCATCTCCCACGCCCTGCACCTCTGATCTTAAGAAACGCAGGGCTCCTACAATCAAATTTGCTTTTTGAAGCCTGCTATTTTTGCTGTAATTTTGGGTTCCATCACCAACTGATACCATCTGCTTTATTTTTCCTCCACTGGTAGTAAACTTTTTAACTCTAAAGGAGAGTTTTTTATTGTTGTTTTTTGGGTTTTTTTTTTGGTATTGTCTTATTTTCTGACATCGCTAATGGATTTAAAAAGAAGGAAAGGCAAATGTGGCATTCAGGTGGCCTTTCAAAAGGTGAAGTCAACGCAATATACTTTCTCACTTGTGAATTTCTTTCAGAAGTACAGATGAGCCTTGAACACGGAGGTCAGAAGTGCTGACCCCCTGCAGAACTGAAAATCCATCTGTAATTCTGACTCCCCTAAAACCTAACTACTAATAGCTCCGTGTGAACCAGAACCTTTCCTGATAACACAAAAGGCAATAATATGTATTTTATACACCATATACATCATATTCTATATTTTTACAATGAATAAGCTAGAAGAAAGAAAACTGTTAAAAAACAGTAAGAAAGAGAAAATACATTCACAGTACTGCACTGTATTTATAGGAAAATACCCACATAGAAGTGGATATGCATGCAGTTCAACCCAGCGTTGGTGAAGGGTCAGCTATATGGGAGAAAAGTATTAAAGATATACTTAGTAATTAGGAATTAAATCCCCCAATGTCCACAGGTAAATAATTAACAGATTCCTAAAGCCTTGATGTATTTACCTGGAAGAAGTAAAATGTGCAGCAGACAACACTCACCCTCTTGGTGAGAGCAGAGAAAACAGAATGCAGGGATAGAGAGCAATTCCGAGGACACAGTGGGAGGGTCCAGTTTTAAATAGCAAGGCTTGAGAACCGTCAAATCCTAAAACAAACCCACCACACCAGCCCAAAAGAGAAGGTGACAAAAGCAGCTGAGCACTGGCTGGGAGCACCGAGCCCGGCGAGCTGCCACTTCCCTGGGCTGCACTTGTAACTCAAAGACTAGCCTTCCACACGGAGGGGCGAGGAAAAGAGGGTTGAAGCGCGTCCTATGAAGCAGTGACTGTGGGAAACAGCAAACCAGTGCCCAGGCAACTGAAAGGTGTTAACTATTAAAGCCTTTAGCCCAAGAAAAGGTGATCTTGTGTTCTGAATTAAAAACAAAAGGACAGGACGAAGGGAAAGGGTAAAGGAGGCTTGTAAAGAGACGCCATATCCTTGTAGGAACAATGGAAGTGGTTTCAGTAATCTCCACTTAGAGGAAAAAATAACACATTGGTGACATAAAAATACCATTATTTCCTTATTTATCATTTGAATTTCATCTCTACCAAGAAAGTAAGACAGGTAGAGCAGAAATCCGTATCTCCTCTTTAAAAATGGAGAATGAAAGGAAGAGAAGTAAATGGCCAAGGATCACACAACTAATAAAGAGAAATATTAAAGCAAACGCTTCAACTTCTCAGCACCCAGTGTTGTATCTTCTCGCCTACAAGAAAACACACTGCATGACAAAGACCGAAGCGTCTGTGACTCCCCGTTCCACAACTACTGTCTTACTTCCCCTAGAACACTTGGCCTTTCCTCCAAAAATACACTGGAGGGCTTTGATTCCAGTTTTCCTGCTTGACCTTAACAATTTTTATATACTTGGCACCCAAGAAATTTTATAAATTAAACTGGCAAACTGTAACCTAATTAAAAAAACTATACTTACTTATTGAAAAGTATGGAAATTATACCACAGACTGGTTTCCCTTTCCCAAGCAATACTGCTGTTGACTCTCATTCATCGGATTATTTGACCAGACAACAAGGTGATATAATACATACAATACGCACAGAGATGTAAAATGGATTATGACTTCTCTAACACGAACATCTGCTAAACCCTAGAAGTTCTTCAATCACAGGTAAGAGCAACAAGCAACCTCCCAGACCACCGGAAGTAAGGCACAGAAATTCGTAAGAAATCTGTAATATACTCACTTTTATCTATGCTTCCATAAGAATCACTTGAAATTTGTGTTCCAATATGCCTCAACTCTAAAATCATGGGGAAAAATACAGTTAATAAAGAATATTGCATATCAAAACAGAATTTTCAAGCAGTCCGCGAACACTCACCCTTTTCATTTTTCTGTTTAGAAAATTCATCGAGCCGTTCCTGTGGAAACAAAGTGCTGACAGGGTTTGAAAGGGGCAGGGAGTGCAGGCATCACATACCCGATATATAAGGCGGGGGTCGCTTCCACCAGGCGGCCCAGTTCCTCACTCCCGCATGACAAGGACGCTCTGGAGCCCTGAGGCCATAGGTGTCACCTGGGTGCACACTATTATCTATTACCTGTGTCTTCTTAAATTCCTTTTCAAGTATTTTCTTTTCATTCCTCAGTTGCTTGAAGTCCTGCGTTTGCTTCACAGCAGCCTCTTTAAAGACAGTGAACGAGAGACGCGGCAATAATTTACCGACTTCACAGCTACCACTAAGAAGATCCTCAAAATATCATCTACTGAGAGCTTTTCTCTTTTCATAAAACTTTGAAACAAATTTTGTAAAAAGTTACCGTCCCTTCAGCACCTCCTCAGTCAGGGATAAATGAAGGAACACGGTTTAAACTATGAACCATAAAACCACTGACTTGGCAGAGGCCCCAAGACGCCTTGGCAAATCCCAACACAAGCCAGTCCAAGCCTTCTGGTCAGACAAGAACCCAACACACATGACCTCTCTAGGAGGGCACTGTTCCCTCTTGCTCTTCAGCAATAAGCAACATTCACGTCTCAGAGACTTTAGAGCTGTGGGTTCATCTCAGAATATAGTCAATACTATCCTCTGCATTGGGGAAGTGGGACAATCTTCTCCATGCTTCTTATATTGTTACTTCTTCCTGGAATTCCCATCAACAAGCTGAGAGTTCTAGCTGCTAATACCTTTGCTCTAGATCTACTTTTAAGGTATTGTTTTAGCTCTTCTCTGGATCTTCAGCAAATTCTTCAGTCTGGTTTTTGATTCTGAAGCTCATGGTCCAAATACATTATTAAGAATCTAACCAGTATTAACTTTACCCAGTACATTCAGACACAATTGCCATGAAAACTAAAATCCCATAAAACACCACAGTAACAATTCTTTCCTGACTCCTCCACTGAGCTTGACTGTTTCTTTACCTGATTATTATGCCACATCACTCACTAGGGAAAAATATTTTTGTCACATGAGAAGTACAGGCTGCACTTCCCTTCAAAGGAAATCTGTCCTAAAAGTTGCACATAGTCTGAAACACACAGGCACCTCAGATCTCTTTAAAACACTTCCTTAGATAGACACTTATCTCCACACACCAGCAAGAGAAAGCCATCCTCAAAAAGAACAGTGATGCCACAGTTACTGCCGTATTGTGCTTGTGCAAAACCCAAATCAGAAGAAAAAATGTTTACAAAGTATCTGTACAGTTTAAATCTAAAAACCTGGGCTCAATCTAGGTAAATTCAAGACCGGAAGTATTTTCAGCAAGTTCTTGCCTATATGCCCCAACCCAGCTAAATTTAAATTCTTACTTCACACTCTACATGAAAAATGAACCATGCTCTGAGGCAGAGTACCAGCAGCATGTCATCACTATCTAAAAACATCAAATCTCCTGGTACTAAAGTAGTAACCTTTTCTTTCTATTAACCACTTATTTCAGGAAAAAATGAGAAAGCCCCATAATATTCAACTTTCGAAATTAAATCCTTTTACTGATTGCTGATTTTTAAGGTACAAACATGGACTGTCATTATTTTGAGTGCACAACATTTCAAAGATTTTCCACATGTCATTCCCATATTCCTATCCAGGAACTGAGAGGAATATTCAAACTTCTCCTTAACGGTGCTCTTAGCTTGGTCATTCAGGGTGCGCCCTCAAAAACATGATGACCCCGCTGCCGGTCAAGTCCCACAGCTCTGCACAGTCACCAATAATCTGTGCACAGACCAGTGGCTTCCATTAGCTAGATAACAACAGTGCCAGTTACCTTCCAGCTTCTTCACCTTGGCTTCTAGTTTCTTCTTCCTGAGAAAACAATTTCATAAATAGTAAAAACACATATATGTTATATCTATACACATATACATTAACATATATATGTGGGTGTATATATAGTATATACACACAGTTTGTGGTACATTTTTTAAAATTAAACTTTTTTTAATTAGTAAAATTGATATAACAAAGAAATGTCGGTGATGATGGGCACTGTGCATCAACCACTGAAATCGTCAGCAACTGTTCTGAAGGTAGAGTAAACTAAGAGAGAACAGTACACCATTTAATTTATAGTATTTCTAGAAAGAAATCTGTGTCTTTCTGTCATGCCACATCTGGGAGTCTCCCTGAGCCACAATGGCCTCATGTCCAGGCCAAGCTGATGCACCCCACTGGCCTCCTTGAACCAGTCCAGCATGGCCACTGTCACTCTCGGGAGCATGTGTGGTGGTAGTGATCACAATTCCATCTTACGGGAAGAAGAGGCTGGAGAGCTGCCCCAGTTTTCAGATAGATTTTTGGGTCAAAGAAGGCAGGTAACTCTGAGAAACTCTCTGAGGCACCATGACATCACGCCTACATTAGACTACTGTGTGTGTAGCTCACAAACTCTGTGAATCATGTGACTATCATCACTTGGATGCTTTCAAACAGCTTTTTATTAACGGTAACAAAGACACCCATTCCACAGCACACCTGTTAAAGTCCCGGTACCGAGGAAGGAGCTGACGATGATGTTTGAAAACACACAGATATGTGTGTGCGTGCACGTGTACAGACATAAAACACTTCTATGGAGTTCTTCCTTTGTGCAGCTTTTTAACATATCAAGACTTATCAATCCTCCTTATAATCCTCCAGGGGAGGTCTAATTTCCACTTGACAGACCTCTAGACTAATGTTGAGTGCCTAACTAGTTTAAGCTCATAGTTACAGCCCACAACCCAAAGACAGAGAGGAGAGAGCACTGATCTAAGAACCAGCCATTTTCAGACACGAAAACCGAATGTCGACAGTCATTTTAGAACTTACTGAGCATCAGTTTTCAAGCATTCTTCTTTTACACGTGCATATTCCTGGTGAGTATCTTGGTACAACTTGAGAGAACTCTAAGAAAAAGATAGCTGTTTTCAATTTGAAAGTCACTGACCACCGGTGAGAATTTACTTTGAACTTTGACCTTGATAAGTGAAATTATTACCATTTTTACCAGTAAGAAAATCAACCAAATGAGTACATATATTAGACAGGAAACCAAAGCAAATTCTTTGAACATTTTAATAGAGATAATCAGATGCTTAACAGATGTAATATGATCAACAGTCTCATCAAACAAAACTATGCAATTAAAATGTACTAATTTTAGGACAACTCCACATCTTCCTAAGACTGAATAGCCAATATTTTCCTCAACCAGTTAAAATTCAGCAAAATCTAAAGAAATTCTAGAGCTCAACAAATATAAGCTATCATTACTCCTACACAAAAATATAAAGCAAATCATTATATTTAACGATCTCTGGGGAAAATGTGCTACCGTCACTCAGGAGGTACCTCCTGACAGCCACCACGGCAGGGGAAATAATCTGTTGCCAAGCACTGTATCCTACTACAATGTGCATATGATAGGTCTTTAAAGGCCATAGACCAGATGGACTTTATGACCCCCTTTAATAGATGAAATGTCTGAGGATCCAGAAGCTGACTTATTTTTCCAAAGTCACAGAGAATGAGTGACTAATCAGCATTTCACATGGATGTCTGACTCCAGTGTTCATGCTTCCTCTCAGATAGAGCTGACAATATTGTTATATATTGGAAGCAGACAAAATTCAATGTTGTGGTTGTTTCTGTTTAATCTTCTTCAAGTAGTTACATATATATAATGAAGACTTTCTACAGAAGGAGGAAAGCCAATCACTGCTCAAGTACGTAGACCTCAGCCCGTTGCACAGCATTACACGAACAGCACCTGTCGAAGACTGAGAGCCAGACTCCGCCATGAAAAGCGCTCACTGAACAGGCTGAGAGGCAGGCATCATTCCAGCTTAGATAGGATATGTCTCATGAAAGAAAACCAACTAACTTCATTGGCCTTTGAATTACATTATCTGTAAAAGCTATGAATTCTCTCCTAAGACTCCTGAAAAGAGTAAACCAAAATTTATAACAAGCAAGTTTACAGCATTTTTTTTTTGTATTGCCCCCAAGCTTACAGCATTTTAAATAACTGTTTTACTGCAACTTGATTTTGAAACAGAGAACAAGATCTCTCCACCTTTAAGTTTAAATTTTTGCAGATTCTTTCACACTTACAGCAAGACCAATGTGAAAAGGCAACCAACGCAGGACACACAGAGCCCTAAAAATTCCCAGCCAGAAGGTTCCTCTGCAGAATCTCAAAGACCACATAAGCAACTAACACAGCATCAGAGAGCTAGTAATTACTGTGAGGACCAAGCCATTAATTAACAAGTTCGATGTTCTCTAAATAGAGGCATACACTTAGTGATTCTTGAGTACCCCTTGTTTCTTCTATTAAGACATAAAATACCCCCTCATACCAATGACAGTGAATAAACAGATGTTAATTTATGGAAGATAAACTTTTGTAGGAAAATTCCTCTGGGTACCTTCTTCTCTTCCAGCTCTGCTTTTAAAGACCCCAATTCTTCCTGACATTTCTGCAGAGGAGAAATTTTTTGAAGCATCTGTTCCACTTGGTGATGCAGGGTACTATTCTCTCTAAAAATGGACAAGATATTAGCATTATTATACAGAAGCACCTACAACGATTTATTAAATATGTCGACTGCTGCTATTCTATTTTTTCGAACTTGGAAGAAAAAAGGAATAAAAGAATCTCTCTTTTTAATGCCTTCTTTTTATACCAACATGATTTGCACACTGCTCTTTATTCTTTGACGTTATAGTCTGCTTCTAATAAAATTACATGAAAAACTACTTGAGAAGTAGATTCTCAGTCTGATAGACAATATATGAAAGGACAATATGCCAAAAAGTAATATTAATAATAATTACATTTTTCCAACCTTGAACCCAATCCCCATTTATCTAAATTAAATGACAGGCAATTTGTGGTCTGGTTTATAACAATGTTTTGCCTTCTTACAGGGGATGAATTTCATATTCAGAATATGAAACACCGCTAAAATTTCACATTTCATTATAACAATGTTTTGCCTTCTTCTGGGGGATGAATTTCATATTCAGAATATGAAACACCACTACATTTTCACTCCATTTTAAATTGTTTAAAATATACACGATAACCACATTATTGATCCAATTCATGCAGACAACAATAAACTTCATTTCAATGGCCACGCCATCAGTAAAACTAGTAACTTAAATACCAGGCTGTAATTTAAGACCTTGGTAAGAAATTCATTTGGGTAATTTAAGAGTAAGGAAAATACAAATCTTTTATGATGACCATCTAAGCAACATTCTATATGATGGGTCAATCCTATGTAGCACTTTGACTATTTATAAATCTAGTCTGATCAGTGTCCACCCCACAAAGAACCATGCAGACAGGTACTTACCTTCTTGCAAACTGCAGCTGTAAAACTTGTTAAAGAAAACTCTCAGTTTTATCTGATACTTGTCACAAGATTAAACTCACTTAAAAACACCTGTAAAAATCTCTGTTCAATGTATATACCAGGCAAGTTCACAATTCCTAGAAAACAATATTCCAAGGTCCATTTATAACACAGTGTTAAAAATTTTTAATAAGTTATTCTATTTACCATAACAGGTACCTAAAGTCAAAATATCTACTTCTCTAAATTAAAAGGCATTCAATTACATCGATGATTAACACTGAGTTCGGAGAATAAATACAAAGCAATATTCAACAAATGAATACTACCCTGGATCCTATAAATAACAAAATCCCCAAAAAGCCTAACCTGAATTTCTCAAATAGTCCAGAGCATAATTCCAACAAACATGAGTCAGGTACTAAGGAGAACCAGCTATCACTATATTCAATGAGTAAAGAAAAAAGAAACACATAAAACCTAGATAACCTCTCACTTTCACAATTTACACAATATGATAACTTCATTTCCCATCTCATGCTGCCAGTGAAAACAATTATCCTTTTACATTTCACCTCCTACAAGTTTCTATGCGTACACCATGAGGTGGCAAATGTCTGTAACAACATGTCTCTGTAACAACACGCCTCAGAATACAGACTTCTCCAGATTAGGGATTATACTCACCCTGAATTACCAGTCCTTGCGAAAAAGAGTTGTTCAAAAATACCTGATGAAGTAAAATGTATCCTCTCCTTCCGAAAAAGGAAATAATAAACTTAACAGAACAGTCAGAATTACACAAAAAGGTAAGAAATCAAGGGGTGCCTGGGTTGCTTCATCACTTAAGCATCTATCTGACTCTTGGTTTTGGCTCAGGCTATGATCTCAGAATCAGGAGACGGAGACCCTCGTGGGGCTCATTGCTCAGCGGGGCGTCTGCCTGAGAGTCTCCCTCTCCCTCTGCTCCTCCCTCTGCTCTCTCTCTCTTTCCAATAAAATCTATAAAAAAAAAAAAAAGGGTAAAAAATCAAGTTACATAACAAACCCATTTAAACCGGCACCATTAGCACCTTGGGTTGGAAGAGCAAACTACTACACACCTAAGGTACAAAAAAATACGTATTTGGGGCAAACACCAAATGTGTTTAAAAAAGAAAAAAAGAAAAAAAAAAAGAATCAATATTTCTTGTACCCAAGGCTGAAGAAGATTACCATATCACCAAATGAGTATTCCAGCATAATTCCAAGGTTTATCAATTTTTAATAAACTATTTTAATAATTTCAATTTAAAAATTTTATAAATTTTTAAAAGTAAACCGATTTCCCTGCTAGATTACATGTGTAATTACCTCATAAAGTTTATGCTAAAAAGGATATAATGAAAGTACACTGTCCTGATACTGGAATTAATTGGCTACCTATCTCCTATTTAGCTAATTAAAATACTTATAACTGTTTCTGTACGGGTTTCATAATCAGAGATATTATTCTTGTGATAATATACGTTTACAGTTCAACAGACTGAGAATTTAAACAAATGAAATACAAATTTTCACTGACCTCCATTTTTTAATGTAAAAATTCAGTACTAAAAATAAATCTAAGTCTTATGCCTTGATTTGATTACTCTAATCAGACAAGTCAGACATGATGGTACCAACACAAACAAACAATCAGTGACCACGTGCAAGCTCTGGGGGGCCAGAAATCCTATCAAAGCAGGCCTGGGGTTCCTGCCAAAGTTGAGGAGCGGCATCTGTCCCAAGACCTCGGCTGAAGCGGCACTTCAGTGAACCCCTGAAAATACATCCATGCTAATTTTCATGGGAGATTTCATTCACGGTGTTTTCACCAAGAAATGCAGAAAAGTCAATTACACACACTATTTCACCCTATCAATAACGTATCTCACCAGAGGCAACTACACTACAAGCGCACTGAATGGATACTGAACAAACGCTCACCAAACTTGTCTTGTAAATACAAAATCACACTGTGATTATGGAGATCAATCGATCTATCCATCTATCTATCTATCTACACTCATTCTCTACAAATCATAAAGCTAATTAACAAAAGTGCTTTCTCCACTATTCCGAATATTCCTACCCGGCAGGCTTTACAAAAATCCTGAGAAATTCTTGCAATACACTATTCAGCTTCACTTTATTCCGAAGCCTGAAGAACCTGTCGTGTCCTGAGTACAAATGAAAAAGACCTACCCACTAAAAAGTTAGAAGACCTGAGGAAAATGAAAATCGGTGACAAAAACAGAATATTCTAAAACAGAAATCATCATGAATCACGTGCTCACAGGAAAAGACTCCTGTTCACTGTGCTGTTCAGAAGGGCTCCCTCCTTAGAGGCTGTAAACACTACCTTCCACTGACAATTCCCACGGTTCTTCTAAGAAAATACAAATAAGTAAATTTAAAAACTCAAAGGAAAAAGCTAGTAAAAGGATATCATCACATTTCTTCTGATATTCTGTTAATAAATTACTGCAACAAAGAAAAGAATTATGTTACTTTTTTGATCTAGAAAATACTGTTGAAGTCATGTTTCAAAATATGCCAGGCACCTTTCTTCCTAGGCCTCCTGCAACAAAACATGTTTAATTAATTAAATATGTATACACACACACACACATACACCACCTTCAATTCTTTTAAAGCGCTGCAATGATATATGAACTTTAAAAAAAATAATAAATCTCCTACCGTGGCTATGAAATACTATGAGGAAATCTGAGCTCCAGTCCTAAAGCTAAGAAGGCTTTAAAGATAGAAAACAGCTTTAAAAAAACTGCCACCCTAGGAAAAATCACTTCCTGACCCATAGGCCTGCCGTAAAGGGCTTTGGACCAACAACACAGGCTTCAGCCTGCGGACAAAGCTCAGCAGGGTTCCACCATGACCCACAGCCCCGTGGCCCAGGTGAGAGACTGAAGGTCTGATACACCAGCCGCTCTGGCTTATCTGTCAGGTTCACAAAGTTCAACAAAGCACAGGAAAACATACTCACTCTGTATTAATAATTTTCTGCTTCAAGGTAATTAGTGCTTCAACATACTCGTTTAAATTCTGAAAGAAAAAAAAAGCTACAGTCAGCTACTTATTTCTGTAATATGAATGATTGTAAGTATACTTTCCATACCATGTGACTTACTGTAAAACGTGAACACATTTACTCTCACATAAACATACAAATACATACAGGTATTATTTACATTACAGAAGAACACAGACCAACTCTGTTTGAGCTTGAACCCATGCTGTACCTCTCTGAATCCTGCTTTAGGTGAACGGCGCTCTCTCTGACAGAAGGGGTGTGCAGACTCTCTCTCTGACTGTGTGCTCTTTGTGGGAATCTGGTATGTATTTACTATTTTTAGTTCACCAATTACCATTAATTATCAGTCTACAACTCACTCTGCATTGTCTCTGAAAGGATTTAAGACACCAAAAAGTCACATAAATCATCAAAAAAACAAAAATAACATGGGAAAAACAAATAAGAAAATTAAAATAGGGAGGAAATTCAATGAAAAATTCATTTTAAAAGGATCTATATATTTTAGAGACCAACCACAAATCTGGCTCTAAGTTACTGCTATCAATTCAATAGAGAAAACACCATTAGTAACACCGCTTAAAATGTTACTAAGATTTAAAAACCTATTTTTTTCTTTTCAGGCACTTTTCCCCTTAATATCTTCGTATTTCTTTAGTAAATACTTCAGAAGAACTTATTTTTCACTGATTATCCTAAAGCATCTTTTTCTAGATAATCCAAATGATTTTGAAAATTACAGAAATATTTCCCTTTATAGTAGTCTGGGCATCTCCTTTGCAGTCAGACATGTAACGTAGTAGTTAAAGTAAAAAAGGTCCACACAGAAATACGTAAATAAGAAGTCTTAGTTTGGGGTGCGTAGGTGGCTCAGTCAGTTGGGCAACCAACTCCTGGTTTCAGCTCGGGTCCTGAGCAGGGGCTTTATGCTCACTGATACTCAGCTCGGAGTCTCGGGGTCCCTTTCTTTTTTCTCCATTCCCCGCCCCCTGCCCCAGGGCAAGCATGCATACACACACACACACACACACACACACAGGCTCTCTTATAGACAAATAAAATCTTAAAAACAAACAAACACACACACACACACACACACACACACACACACACACACACACACACACTTTGTCTTCTTTTACTCCCACCGGCAATTAAAAATCTCTATTCCTCCTCGTGGATCTCCTCTCAGAAGTGTTCCTGCACATGTAAAGGACACCTGCATGTGCTCAGTTGGCCACTCACCACTGAAGGCCACTCGGGTTCTTCTGTCCCCACCAACCGCATACCATCACTGTCCCTGCCTGTTCCTGTGAGACACTTACTTCCTTAGGATCAAGTCCAAATAGGCTTCCTGCATAGTCATGAGTTTTGAAAATCTTAGAGCCATATTTTTCCACTTATATTTCTTTAGGAGTGTGACTAAGAAATCTCTTGCCATTCAGTTTCTCTCTACTAACAGCTCCTTAACTCTGCTCACTGGTATGGCTGCACTTTCCTATGAGCTGCGATATTTGAATAGCAACATTTCATTAAATGTTACAAATATACACATAATGTCGGTCACTTGCTCACTAAAATACAACCACATAGGTAGGCATGCAGAAATTCTAAATATTCAGAGCTGAGGGATGCCTGGTGGGCTCAGTCCCTTAAGCGTCTGCCTTTGGCTCAGGTCATGATTCCGGAGCCCTGGGGTGGAGTCCCACATCAGGCTTCCTGCTCCATGGTGAGCCTGCTTCTCCCTCTCCCTCTGCCCCTCCTCCTGCTCCTGTTCTCTCCCGCATGCTTGCTCTCTCAAATAAGTAAATAACGTTTTTTAAAAAATATATATTTAGGGGCACCTGGGTGGATCAGTGGGTTAAAGCCTCTGCCTTTGGCTCAGGTCACAATCCCAGGGTCCTGGGATCAAGCCCGGCATTGGGCTCTCTGGTCAGCGGGGAGCCTGATTCCCTTTCTCTCTCTGCCTGCTTCTCTGCCTACTTATGTTCTGCCTGTCAAACAAATAAATAAAATCTTAAAATGTATATATATATATATATATATATATATATATATATATATATATATATTCAGAGCCAAATCTTTCACTTTTTTTTTTTTTTCAAAGATTTTATCTATTTATTCGACAGAGAGATCACAAATAGGCAGAGAGGCAGGCAGAGAGAGAGGAGGAAGCAGGCCCCCCTAGAGAGCAGAGAGCCCGATGCGGGGCTTGATCCCAGGACTCTGAGATCATGACCCGAGCCGAAGGCAGCGGCTTAACCCACTGAGCCACCCAGGCGCCCCAAATCTTTCACTTTTTAAAATGTTTTGGTTTCCTGATATATTTAGAAAATTCTATTGCACCCAAGATGCTAAAGTAAAAGGATTCTTCTCTATGTTATTCTACTACTTCTGTGCTTTTGTTTTGTGTTTTCATATCTTTAACCATTCTAATATTCTATACAGTAAACTCTAAACACCGTAAGTCAAAAGGACAATGAGTGGACCATTCCATATTTGTATTTAATGTATATTTTGCTTTCCACATTCAAAAACAACCTTTCATTATTACAAAATAAATTTCACTTAACAACAGATTTCTGGGCCCTTTGACTCCCTCCCTAAAAGGCAGCTAAAACTGAAGCCAAGAAGCTTTTTCCCCAAAGGCAAAACCCACAAAGATGAAAGCCGAATAAAAGACAAATGGAAACTAGATTCAAGAATACTGACTTAACAGGCTCAAGAAAGTGGGAGAGGTGGGAAGAGGGGAGAGTGTGTGACCCTGGGGTGCTCTGAGACAGGAGGGAGGGGCAGCACTAACAGGACTGGTGGCAAGCTTCCTTAGAGGCGTGAAATCCTCAAATTCCCACCTCTCTCCACTCCACCATCCAGCAGAAGGTCTGCTGTTTAAGGAATTCTCTGCCTGGGACACTGAGCACTGTGCCAAAAACAAAGGGACAAGGCAGCCCTGTGCACACTAACCTGACCCTGACCGCCTGCTTGTCCCCATTACGCTCCCAGACAGCGGCAGCCAATCCTCTGCCCTCTAGGCACGAGACAGAAAGTGCTTTCTCCGAGGACATCTAACCAGCACTGACGGGATATGCTTCCAATAAACGGCCCACCAGACCTTCTGCAACGAAGCTCAGACTCCAGAAGCCCCACACACTCAGCATTTCCAGTCAACATATTGGCCGACAGTTTTACCAGGAACAATCATGGACTTCCACATATCAGCGAAAAACCTGCAACACCGAAGTGAGACCAGAACAAGACAAAGCAACTTGGAGTAAACAAAAACTGAGAAGAAAACTTCAAAAAGTAATATGGTTAGAGATAAATGTTGTATTCACAAAGCAACAATATTTTTGAAAGGGATATACAGAGTTCCTAGAAATTTTTTTTAAAAGCTCTTAAAAGTTAAAAATATCCACATCCCCGAGGATGGCTGAAACCAAAATGGCAGATGACTAGCCTCCGTGAGGACGCGGAGAAACGGCCTCGGGTTCTGTGCCCTAGGCTGACGTGGAGCGCTGCGGCGCGCGGCAGTCTGGTAACTTCTTCGAATGTCTGACACAGTTCACCGCGTCACCCAGCAATTCCACTCCAAGGACCACGCCCAGGAGAACCGAAGACACACATCCATGCCGAACTTGAACTCTGTGACTCAGAGCATTATCCACACTGGCCAAAAAGCAGAAATACGCTAGAGGTGCATCAAATGATGAAGGAGTAAATGAGGAATCGCACAGCCATACCACGTGATTCCTCGGCAATGAAAACTAATGAATGACCCCTGCGACGACAGGGATAAACCTTGAAAACGCTGCGCTATGTGCAAGGGGCCGGTCACAAGAGGCTACATGCCACACGGGTCCATTCATATGAACTGTCCACACAAGGCAAATCCAAAGACAGCAGATTAGTGGTTGCCAGGGACTGGGAGTAAGGGAGACAGGGAATGACTCCTAATGCCTGAGAGGGCTCCTGGCAGGGGCACAGTGAGGGGGATGGAGAGGAACGTGTCTTAAAATTACAAAGTGGTGACAGAGTTATATAACTGTGACTGCACTAAAACCCACGGAATTGTACACATAAAAAGGATGAATTTTATGTGAATTATATCTAAAACTGCAGAACTAAATTAAAGACAAGGAAGAAAAATAAAAGCCTCAAAAGATTTGATGATTAAAAAAAAGAGAGTTCCTCCAAATAACGCAAAACACAGACATGAGAAAGAACAAGGACAAATAAAAACTGGCGTATCGCTATGACATCGTCACGTGCCCAACAATATGAGTTCCAGGCAGAAAGTAAGAGAAAAGGCCGTCAAAGAAACTGCGATATTCTTGAAATCTCAGAACTGAATCCAGAAGTTTCCAAGCTGAAAGGTCCCAGCACATGAACAGAAATAGCATCCAAAGCATGGAACATCAGCATCAAATTTCAGAGCATCAGAAACAAGCAAAGACCCTACAGAAATCCGAAGAGAAAAATAAAACCAAACCATCATATACAAAGATTCTGGAATCAGAGTGGCTTAGGCCTTCAACAACCATCTAGGACCCAGAAAACAAGTCTTCAAGATTTTGAAGGAAAGTGAATTCCAAGATCAAATCTGTACAAGCTACCAATCGATTGGGATGGTAAAATAGACATTTTTAAATCTCAGAATTCCTACAAATTTACTTCCCAGACGTCCTTACTTAGGGAGGTACTAAAGGATGTAAACGCGATCCACCAAAAGCGTGGAAGTCAACCCAGATAAGATGACGTGGCATCCAAAACAGAGGTAAGGGGAATCCAGGAAGGGAGCTGCGCCCCAGAATACAGCAGAAACAAAGGCTCAGGAGGGAATTTTTTCCCTTAAGAAAGTGCTGGAATATCTGGTGGCATGAAAGCAGTAAGAGGACATTTCTACCTAACTGGCAGAGAATTCCAAGTAAATCTCACCATGCACTTAAATTATGATTTTTTAAGTACAAGTGATTCTCCCCCTCACTTTTCCATCCTTCTTCCAGTTGTT